AATTAACATCATTTGTTTTTGCTCTATATACACGTGGACATCCGACTTTTGTAAACTTAATTTTGTAAGTGAAATAGATAATGAAATAATGATTAAAGAGCCCGAAAGAGGACGAAAACTTGAAAATGTTCTAGAACAAAAGTGAATTTCGCAAAAAATTGGACATCCATTCGGCTCTGATGTAAGATATTGCGATAGACCCTGATAATATTATTATTGCGAAACAACTTGAATAGAGTGAATACGCTCCTTTTGGGCGACCTTATTATTACACCGTTATTTTTTGCATTGTCAAACAATTTTCAGATCTCTTGTAGAGCCAATTTTCAAGCTCTTCAATTCCTAAATCTGCAAACATGTAGCTTGGCGGTTTTACTAATGTTTCATAGGCGTAAGTCTTTTTACCCGTCTGCGCAACGCAAAGGAGGGTGTTGTGTTTATCAATCTATGTATGAATGTATGTATGTTTGTTTCTATGTGGCGTTCTAGAGACCAAATGCGTAGGCCGATTTTGATGATTCTTACGTCAATCGATTCGTCTTAACCTTGCGAGTGTCACTAAAGACAGGACAGTAATCAAAATTCACCACACCGACAACCAGATGCCATATTGTCAAAATGAAAAAAATAAAATCGATGAACTATGTCAAGTCGAATAGGTATTTTAAAATTATCTTTAGGTTATTATATCTAAAATTATCTATGTTAAATAACAGTTTAGGATATATAACGATTTAAAGTTGTTTGCCAAAACCATCATCCGCGCTAATTTTCTTACTTATTGATTTAAGTTTTTATTTAAAGTATATCGATGAAATGACTCGATTGCGAAATTTACCATCTTATAAAGAAGTCAACGAAATGTAACTAAATAGTATAAAATAAAAATAAATAATTTAAAGAAAAACAAAAAACACGACTGCGTAAAAACGAATTTTAAAAAATATATGAAAGAAAATAACTTAAATAAAAACTAAAAAGAAAGAAACAAGCCCAGTAGTTTAGAATTCTGTTAAGACAGAACAGAACGACTCATAGTCGGGGCTCCTTGGGAAGATTCCATTGGTAAAATTTGAATGGGCAACGCTAATTAATAAAAGATTAATTAGCGTTTATTATTATTGTTGTTATTTGCAAGCTGAAGTACTTAGACACAAATATTATGTCGTCACGCAGAGAATAAAACGTAGCACCAGCAGTCAGACATATCAGCCAAACTGATGGATTTTTGTGAAGATTTATTCTTTTTAACGACAGATGGGAAAAAGCTCAATGGCATCCTACCGGTATGGGAGGCGCGGCGGCGGTAGCTGCTGGAGCGATGGTCGGTGCCGTGGCTCTAGCAGGGTCAGCTCCCTCTCCTTCTATTTCGATGATCCAACCACCGGAGCCGAGAGATTCCGCCAGCCTCACACCCGGTAGCGCCTTGTCCCTCACGCCGAATTCATCGTGTGAGGAGCTGAGAATGGACTCTGGTCAGTATGACAACTAAGCTTTGGAGAAAATGACAGCTATTATTATTTTATTTGATAAATTTACCTATCTAAAACCTTTTATTCAAATGTGTTTGTGTTGTATAATTTACATAAGAAGACTGCGGTCATTTGTGTACAAAATATTGCTAAATACGAGATATTACAACTAATATCCAAGTAGCTACTTGAAAATCATCAAAAAATAACAGTTCATAGGGTATTAAGTAAATGAGCTCTATATGGACTTATCATCATTCATCAACAGCCAGCCTCAAGATGTCCTGTTGAGAATTAACCTACCTCATAGATGATGGTGCTGCTGAGACTGTTCAGTATTTAATAAGCCTAAATTAAAAGGAACCAATAGCTGTTTAACAGATGAGCTCACCATAGCAAATATTTAGTCAACATTCTAAGGACATAGCTGAAGAAAATAACTTCTACTATTTTTTTTATAAACTAATGCTGTCTTTGTTTGCCAATAATATATCTGTAATAATCCCAAACGCTTTTTTATCATCAGAGAGTTTTATTTTAAAACTTTGCAGAGGTAGACACATCTATAAAGTACATATTAATAGATGCGGTGGCGTCAAAATTCCCCACAAATCGTATATAATTTTGGCATTCATTCTATTCACCGTTACATTCCGTACTTACATCAGAATGTTAGCAATCAATGTTTTCGCCAAAACAATTTCAGCGGCTTCATAAAAGCGATCGCATTTATAAGATCAAAGATGTGATGATGACCGAGTAAACTATGAAATATATAAGAACCTTGTGTTGGAGAATCTTGAGCATATTTTTCATTGGTCCAATTTGTTTATTATGGATTTACATTCTAGAATTTCAGACTTAATTCAATTTTAGTGGATATTCCAATATATAGATTCATAAAAATATCAATATTGGCTTCCAAATATCTATTGAATCCAGCTAAATTAAATCAACTAATGTTTATTCATTTATTCTACCATTGATAAGTATATGGTTTGATTAAATAATGTTATTATAACTAATGAAAGCTAGTAAGCAAGCTTTTCGTGCTGTTTATTCTTGTCAGCCAAAAGACAATCTAAATGGTAAAATAGTCATACAATTTATAATTACTATCAATAAGCTTATTTGGGATATTATCATTTCAATTATTTTTATCACAAAAATATTAAGATATAATTAGTTTTGTACTTATTGCGGATTTCTAAATACAAACGCTTTATAAGATGTCATTGTTACAGGATTGAGCCGAAAGAGTGCAACATTAGATATGAACAACGCGTTCCTTCATGCACCTCCGCAGGTATAGACCGTTTCACGAAAGATTTCTTTGGCATAACTCTTATTCCTTTGTGATAAAAGCGAAAACATTGTGATCCGAGAGACTTCTTTCGTGAACGAACTTAAATAACCAGCTCACTAATATTTCCAACGCCACTTTAACAATAAACTGTTTAAGTTTCATAAAATTATGATATATTATTATTTACCTATGTCACAAACAGCTAGTTACACAAACATCTATTAAAATTGCCATCAGTTTAAAGCGACATTACCCATACAAATGTGACATTCCTTAGAGTTTAAAGGCGTCATTAAACCTTAATGGAAGTTTGTGCAACTGACCGAAAGATTAACAAAAACAAATATTACACAAGAATAACTTCAATAACACGAATTTGACGGCACTCAGAGGTACCTAGAGAACAAATAGCTATTACTTTTTCCACTCAAATATTTCCAATAATAAATATTTCATTTAGATATAGTTTATTTGAAAGATAACCGCTATTTTGTTCGTCAAAGTAATATAATTTGAACATTTATAATATTTACGAAACATCAATAAAAATTATAGTTTCCTTGAAAATATTGGTCATCCTCACTGAATAGGTTATTTTTGTCATATTATAGTGACTTTTATCACATCACAAAAAGTTTATGTAGTAGCTATCGTTTCTTAAAAATCTTAAGCTACTAAATTACGCTGATTGGTGGAGAAGTTATATATCGGCCTTTAACTAATTTGATGGACAAATTTAAATTGCCTCTAGGGCTGCTGTGATACTAACGTATACAATACTGACCTTTTGTAGCCAGCCCTTTCCAGTAGCAGTATCACGCCTATATATTTTAATATAAAAATAATATAAGCAGACTAGCTGATTTCCCGCGACTTCGCCCGTGTAAATTATAGCATATGTCACCCGCGTATGATATACCTTTCCTAAGTGAAAGAATTTTAAAAAAATATCGAGTAGTTTCGGAGGTTTTAGATGCAAAGAAACAAGCAAATCTTACCTATTGACGTGGATACGTCTATGTTTTCGTTGTACAGGGGGGTCATTCTGTGAGCAGGAATATATGCACTAACGCCATCTATTGGCGAATAAGTGAACTATGCTTGCTCTGCAGGGGGAGGGGCATTCTGTCAGCAGGAGTATATGCACTAACGCCATCTGTTGGCGCTAGTGAATACTTTTTTCATTCAACAAATGAACGCAACGAATATTTATTTATTTTGTGATAAGTGTCTTCAATTTGTTTATTTTTTTTTTTAATTATTCATTTATAAATGCAATTATGCCACAACGTTGCATAATTCCGGGTTGTTTTGGAGAAGCGAATCGTTCAGTTTTTAGAGTGCCAAAGAACATTGATAGACGTGAAGAGTGGTTAAAAGCTATTCGTGATGTGTTGTTTCCTAACCTGGATGATGGTGAAATTTTTTTTTTGTTTTTATCAATTACTCATATATCCATTCATACATAGACGTATCCACGCATAAAATATGGCTGTATCAATGATACAGCCAACCAGGGTTTTTTTGTAATATTTTTAGTATCACAGGGCCTCATGTAATGGTATTGTATATTTATTTTTGTGTAGAATACTATTACACTTAAGAATTGAATTAAATCCAATTTCATAATCATATTCAATAAATACAGTTAGGCGAACGTTTTTTTTTAAATATTCTATAGCCATAGATGAATTCATCAAGGATATTGTAGGAGACTCTGAATAGACTATTCTATATAAATAAACAAACAATCAAATATTTCCCCTTTATAATATTAGTAGAGATAAGGAAGCCTTTGAAAGTATTCTACCTAATAACAAATACTTCGACGACATCTTCATATACTTGTCCTTTGATTATTGTTATGTTAAAAAAAAGTAAACAGTATATTCTTAATGAAAAGTGCTAAAAAATCCTCAAGCGCAAGGCACTCTGAGGTCCGGGCAACTACTTTAGAGCAGTTATTGCGGAAGGTCATGGGTTTGTGTCCCATCTCAGAGTACCTAGTATTAGTAGATTTTTCAAGCATTTTTCATTAAGATTTTTTTCCAAGATAGCATTGTGAATGCCAAATGAATCAAATATAATATAGATTATATTTTTAATCAAATATACTTCAAAACCAGGGACATAGACTGTCATTTAATAGAGCCAAGTCACTGAAAAAACAGCTAGTGTCCTCGGACTCGTAAGCTTTCGAGTTTTAGAAGTCTATCTACAATTCGCGGAGAAACCTGTGAAAATACACAAGAAAAATACTTAGCAGTCAAACATAGACACTCCTTCTTTTCGATTTAGAAATCTTAAAAATATATAGTTCCAACAAGCCACGCATTCTTTAACAGGATGACAGTTCCACATCACCATCACCCAATAAACTTCACAAGAGTCCGTGGGGCAAGATGCGGGACATCATTCAGACACGTCGCGAATCAGTAAAGAAGAAGGGGAGAGGATCAAAGAGCTCCCCAGACGTGGTCCCAGCCAGGAGACGCTCTTTCAGCGATGGAGGAGACAGTGATGCTCCACCCGCACTTACTCTTACTATTCCATCTTCTGAAGAGTTAGGTAGGCTGTAATTGCTAATAAGCTTACGCTTTTCATTAATAATACAGTCATTAGCAGAGTATACTAATGAAGATTGTAACTGTAAGTATGATTAAAATTTATAATCAGTCTTGTTTCAAGGACTGAATTTTAATTATACGCTATATTATTTTGAACCTACTGTACCTATTGCTTCTAATAGATCTTCATATGCTATTAATATACAAATCTCTAGAAGGTCAGTGAAATAGTAGTAGAGGATAATAATTATGCTGCAATTCATTACTCTATGTGATCAATCCAAATTCTCTTCTTTTGAGATGTTGGTTAAAGGTAGACTTTTTACGTAAATAAAATATGAACATAGTAATTTTCATTTGATTATTAGAATCGGAGCCATCACACCCTCTGTTGCGAAAGCAGCGTTCACTAGAGCTGGGTGCGAGACCTCCACAGCATCGACCGCCTCGTGCTTCCAAGTGGACGAAGGTCAAGAGAGCCTTCCTCACCTCCGCCTCTGTATCTGTGCCGTCCAGTCCCAGCAGACACTCCGCATTCTTCACTGACGCAGGTAAAAAATTATATTTATTCCCTTCGTAAATAGTTGCGTAACAACTCGAAATAATATTTTCCTGAAGCACTTTATCTACATTTTTTGTAATGTCAGCAGTCTCTCAAAAAGATTACGTCATCTGACAGTGCTTATTCAGTAACATACTATTGCATAAAATGTTTAAAAAAGTGAATAGCAAAAATACTGGTTCTGTGCGAATTGGCGTGTATTAGTCCCCGAGGAATGAAGATGCTCTTGGAATCTTTTTTTGGTCATACATTTAATGAAGTACCATTTTATAAACTAAAGTACCTAATATCATATTTTACTGCACAACTGAATATTATTCATGACTCACATGAAATAAGTTTCTTCCGAATATGACTGGCGAATAGCCAACACCGGCGCATAAGCACAATGCTTTTCAGAAATTCTTTAGATTCTTCAAACCAATTACGTGTTGCTTGTCTGGAATATCGTTATAATTTTTGGATCCCACTTTCAGGTCCGTTTTATTGTCATTTTATATTGTTTATAATAAACAAAATATGCAAGAATAAATAAGAAACAAATATTTAATCTCATAAAATTGAGAAAAAATATATATGACGTCATAATCTAGCGAAACGTAAGAGTTGCACGGGAGCGACAAGAACAATAAAAAACCAAATGTCGAAGTCAATGTCAAAATAATCATTATTCAAATAGAGTTATTAAAAGTATCTACTTTTGAGTCGTCCAACATTTTTTCCCTACCACTCGTTCAGTACGTTTTTTTGGCTGATAAGAAGAACGAACAAGAAATTTACCAGCTCTAATATCTAATAGAGTAATGAGATTTACCAAACCATGTCGTTACCAGATCAATACATTATAAATTGAGAAAGAGAAATAAAACTATGATCTTATAATGATAACATAATCATTTAATAATAATGGAAACAAGACATTTTTTTATATATAGTGAGTTTAGAAGTAATCACCTATCCAGTTGCTGGATCATCTCAAGTACAAGCATTCTTATCTGTTATATAATCGGATACCTTATAAAAAGATTTATTAATAAGTATTTCTTAATAGTAGATTTAAACTGCATGATATCTAATTGTTGTATTAAAATTGTGCACATCACTTTTAATATAAAACAAACGAATATTTTTACGTTAAAATTAAGTTCTCGTATATGTATTGAGAAGCAACAGTCATTATGCCTATTTCCTTAAATTTCTCCCTCAAAGAGTCCCTAACCCTAAGATTATAAATCGATCTAATTGCTCTTTTCTGAAACACAAAAAACGTTTGTATGTCGGCAGCATTTCCCCACAATAGGCTTCCGGATAAAAAAGAATCCTCTCTTTGTGCTTATTTTTTCTATTCCAATCATGCATATTTTTACAATATTCTTCCATCACCTATTCAACTTTTTCGTTTCACCAACTTCTGAATGGGCAGTAATGTGCTTATTATAAAACCTACATTCTGCTTAATGCTGGTATGGCAGTAGCGATGACGAAAATTGAAACTTCCAAATAACTTTGCACAATTTCTTTAGTCTGAATATATACAATCTCAAAATAACAAAATATAATCAATGTCTTAAAGATATTAATACTGAAACAAATTCCGAAAAATGATTTGATCAGAGAGTATAAACCAATATAATATATATATTCTTTTTATTGTTATTCTTTTTGTAATTGCCAGAGTGTTTCAATAATCTATGTGAATGTTTATGGTAGTGGTGAATATATATAAATAAATATGGAATGTTGTATGTATGTATAGTGGGTTCCCCACATGGCAGTAGCGATGACGAAAAAAGCGAGTGGCCATCTTTCAGCTGTTGCAAAACTCCTCCTATAGCGTAATCAGATGCGTCTGTGACGAGGCCTAACTTACCTGATGAGTCAGGGTGTGCTAGCAATGCTGCTCGACACAGACTTTCTTTGCAGTGTTCAAACGCCTTCAGCGCGTCACCCTCTACGTTGACAGGGTGCGATGCTTTAATAGAACCTGTTAACAAAGCGTGTAAAGGCGACTGAATTTGGGCGGCTTGTGGTATGAACCTTCTGTAAAAATTTATCATGCCCAAAAATCTTCGGAGTTGTTTGGCTGTTTTTGGTATAGAAAACTCTTTAATAGCCTGGACCTTACTTTCCAGAGGTTTAGTACCGTGTTGCGAAATGTGGTAGCCCAGAAATGTTACGTCTGACACCCCAAAGACACACTTAGACGTGTTTATGATCATACCGTAATCCCTCATCTTGGAGAAGAGTTGGCGAAGATGATCTTTATGCTCCTGCTCAGATTTCGAGAAGATCAAAAAATCGTCCAAGTAGGGAAAACAGAAATCTAAGCCACGAGTCATTTCATCGACAAACCTCTGAAAAGTTTGTCCTGCATTACGTAAACCAAATGTCATATACGGAAATTCGAACAACCCGAAGGGTGTCGTGATAGCTGTCTTTTGTATATCATCTTTATTGACAGGAATTTGGTTATACGCTTTTACTAAATCTATGGTAGAAAAAATTGTGCAACCAGATAGGTTATGAGCAAAATCATGGATGTGACGTATGGGATACTTATCTGGAATAGTTCTAGCGTTCAACAGTCTGTAGTCACCACACGGACGCCAAGTTTTATCTTTTTTGGGAGCTAAATGAAGCGGAGAAGCCCAAGGTGAGTCAGATGGACGTGCTGTACCACTTGCCAACATAGCGTCAAATTATAATATGAAAGAAAGTCTACTCCAATAATTGCTTTTGTTACGTCAGCTACAATAAATTTCCATATAAAATCTCTACGCAGGCCTAAATTGATATTAAATTGAATATAACCATATGTGTTAATAACGGTGCCATTAGCTGCACATAATTGGTAATTGGTCTTCTCTCGGCGATCGCGAAGCGCAGATCTAGGGAAGACACATAAGTCGCTTCCTGTGTCCACTAGAAACTGTATTTTAGACTTATGATCTGTGACGAAGAGGCGACCAGTTGAGGTTGGGCAATCATCTGTCGCCATTACTGACTGCCCTGACCGTTTTCCGATTTGTAATCACAAGGACGGAGGCATTTTCTTGCTTGATTGCCGAACTTGAAATGGTACCAGCATGGTGAATATATATAAATAAATATGGAATGTTGTATGTATGTATAGTGGGTTCCCCACACTGGTAACACACATGTCTTTTAACCTTAAAAAATAATTTACAATCTTTCAGAGGTGATCCAAAAATCACTTATACTTATTGATTTTTTATATGCAACATACTCACACATGAAATTCTGTTTTCTCACTTATTTATGGAAACAATACAAGGCTTAATCAAAACCTTGGCCTAATATCTAACATGATACATAAAATCAAAACTATTAACACTATAGATTACGATGTTTGATGTAGTAAAACAACAAAGCAACCATACAGCAACATAGTATTATAAATAAAACCTAGACTTATGATGTTTCATATCAAGCTAGGATTCAGCATCTATCTATAAAGTCTGTACAAACTAACACGGGTACATAAATGAATGAAAGTGAAATTAGTAGATCATTATATTTATTAGTTGATCAATTATAATAGAAATATCAATATAATTTTGTAATATTTCTGAACTTGAGTAGCGCACGCATAACTGATACACGATACAAAGTATTAAATACTCTTAGTTCAATATAATTTTTATACTTCATCATTCTAAAGATAGGATAGAACAAGGAGTAATATTCATGAGATACCACAAAGCTCTGACAAGGGCACAATATATTAAGAACACTTTTGAAACTTGAAATACATATTTTTATCCACCACTCGAACTCGGTTACAAGAAGAACATGCAAAAGAACTTTATCACCTCTTATCATCAACAACGACATTTACATGTATAAACTTATTATCAAATCATCGATCGGAAAAAGTTTAAAACATAATAAAAAAATATTAACAATGCCATCGACAAAATACTCGTCTTTTAATGCTAGCTCAGTCCATTCAGTTTTCTGACTCTACTCAGTTCACACTCATTATTGACTATATGACGTCAGAAATGCAACTACATAATAATATTCTAAATTATTTAGATTATGTAGACTTTAAACTAGATAATAATATTCTAAATTATTTAGAATATGTAGTTGCACTTCTGACGTTATATAACATGTATTTTTATTCAATCAAATCTAATTACCCGACAAAGAAAATTAATAGATTTCATTAGTATTCAGTATTCATTTTGCATTATATCATTGCCATTCCAATGGTGGATTTATTTTGTTCATTTGTGAATTCTTCGGGGACGTATTTCTACAACCACTAAATGTTTTAATAGTGTACATGTTTACTGTGGCTTAATATCTTTTTTTTTTTTTTTTGAGATTTCACATCGTACCTATTTTCCTGCGACTTCAGCCGCTTTTATAGCCTATTTCTTCTTCGTATGATGTATTGTGTAGTTTTCCATACGTGATTTTTTTTAAAATCGGTCCACTAGTTACGGAGCAAACTAACAAATATTTTTCATTTTCATAATATTAGTATAGATTAATAAATATTTTAACAAATAGGGAACATAATAAATAAGAAGGAAAGTGTACTTTGTTGTCTCTAAGATAATAACAAACACAATATTTGTATAAATATAATAAATTTTTCCTGTAGATTCTTATGTACTCTACCGTAACGAAATATAATTATAGACACATAGATTCTTATGTACTCTACCGTAACGAAATATAACTTAGATATGTTAAAAATCCAGATTTCTTAGATTTTTTTCACCATTTGGATATTACAACTTTAATAAATCGATTGTTATTGGCGTGAATATAAATTCAATATTTGATCATCAAAGGTATCCTGTTTTCTTCTCAAGCGTTATAAATAAAAGCACGAATAAGCAGCTACACATCTTGTTCGAAAGGAAATCTTAAATTTATCAAGGAAATCTAATTGTAAACAATTCGTAACAATTATTTCTAGTGCTGTTTACCACAAAATGAAATATGTTAACGTCAAAAACACGTGCCCTTACGTTTGTGAAAGAGGTAAACAACGATCGGACATTTAATATGTAAAAATACCTAACATAAGTTTCCTCATCTTTTTTCAACGGAGGGATGTTTCCATAACTCAACGCCAGGTGCCTAGTTTACGTACAGCAGCTTGAGCAGCGCAGATTTTGTCCAACGAGCCCAGTTTTCGCAAGTAATTGAGTAGACTTTTAATATCTTTACAAAACTCCAACAGTATCTTTGGACTGGTGCAGTCGCGAAGTGACATCTGCTGGTGTATGTCTTATCTTCTGAATTATTTCTGATGCCGCCATTGAATATCGGTTTTTATACAGATTGATAGATACATAGTTTATTCATTTATTGACATCACACAAAAGGGCACACACGCATACATTAAATAGTCACAATTAATAAAAAACATGCATACCATCCGTAATAGCTCAGAAAAACCTTCTTTGAAATGTCTTAGTTTGTTTTTAGCTGTTATCTGCGTCGCTTCCACCACACTATCACTGCATAGCCAATGATAGGCCTTATTACTTTTCTACATAGAACAATTTGTTATGTGCAGTTTAATGCCCCAATTTTTACCTAACGCTCTGGGACATTGCCAGAAGATGATACATGCTTTGTCATAATCCTGTGTATATGCGTTGCCTAATTCTGTTTTAAATCTAAAGTTGTCCCTGGCGAACCTACATGACTGAAATATTCCGAAGAATTACTAATATTAATGTCCCCTGGATTACAGGTCGTCCCTATGGATGGAATAAAAAAAAAACATTATAACCCATCATGCAGGCCCAAAGCAGACTGGTGGGTTTTAATGTCTGCACATTCAGCCAGTACCAATGGCTCAACATGCTTTCTGAACCACGAAGGAACTCAATCAACGACATCGAGCTTCTTCATCTATTGACTTCTTCTGGAGATTTATGAAAAGGAATATACGAGTATATAGGATAAGAAAGTAATATCTAACACTTCTTGAAAGAAACTATACGTATAAGTTATAAAATAAATATATAGAAGGTTCTGAAATATTGACCCAGTAAATATTTGATTAGCTCTAATAGTATCCAAGGTTTCCAATGACGTAGCTGACACACTAACGATCAGCCACAAAGCCGCATGAATAATGTTACTGAAATATACCAATACATTAATAAATAACAGCATTAATATGTCTTAAAGATAGTCGCATTCGAAAGTGCAATTATTCGTTGATATTCATTTATATAAATTAAAAATATATTAAAAATAACGTAACACATATTTAATTATGCTTTCTGATAGGTAAAAATGGAGTATATTACTTTAGATATAAGTAATACCACCCACTTCACTTATTAAAGCTTGACTATTTGAGTAAAGTTTCAGTATTTGCAAGGACTCGTGCAGATATTTAGTACAATTTATCAATCCAGCAGCACAAATCAGTGTATATTAACATGATCATGACTATGACCTCTTCCAACATGCCATACAAAAACAGAGAAAAATGAAAATATTAATGATATCTTTGACCAAATTTGTTCCAAAAGAAACATTCTAAATAGATTATAGAGACTATATACATGGACTGTAAGTTAAAAATTTTACTTGATTTACTCAGGGAAATCTAGAAGAATACAAACAGATAAAAGATTTTTTAAATCCTACCGACGCGATTAAACTCCTTTTTCAAATATAAAACAAAATATAAGAAAAATTTACAGTTTATCTAAAGAGAATTTGTTACGATCAAAGTTCACAAACAAAATGATATCAAAAAAACTAAAACACCTGATAGTTACTCACAACCCACTTTCCTATCTGGAATACCCGCAAAACATGAATATAAAAGCAACCAGCTGACACGCGTCTGTGAAGCAAGAGTATATCCATTAAGTTTGGCTGCTCGCCAACACAGGAAAAAATGAATAATTAGAGGGCTTTGAGGACATTCACCTTCCTGATGGATTACAACCCGGATCTGGTGTATTGTGAGGATATTTATCACAATCTTAACTAGGATCAAAATGGAAAAAAATCAAAATGGATATTAAAAAAATATATAAAACAAGATATCGAATAATATCTATAAATAAAAGTTGATGTAAATGTGCATTTGTAGCAGCATAATAGCAATGTTCAAAATATTCACAAAGAACATTAAGATAATTTGTTTTTTGCACGATCCTAAACTTAGCTAAGACTATAAGAATTTTGTGCAGAATAAACTGAAATTCATAAAGTTATATTTGGAATATGATTCAGAAAACTGTAAGACTGAACACCATATACCACTATAACCATACTTCAACAAATTTTCAGACATTTCTGACAAATGCATCCGTATCTATTTATAATGAATCTAAGCTATATTATTCATTATTCATAATGTCATGAATTTCTTTCTTCGATAATTGTAGATGTGAATATTAAATATTTGAAACCTTATTAGTTTTCCGCTTAGAAGTTCGTCCGATCTAACCAAAAGATAAATACATGAATTTAAATAAACAATCCCATGGTGATGAAAATCTATATAATGTTTAAGCGTTCCTTAATTGAAACAGTGTGGAAAATTATTTTGTTTTTGTCTAAAAGTAGTACAACGTTCTCGAAACATTTAATGCAGTTGAATAAACATGGAGTGCAATGTAAACACTTAAATGTTATCTTAACACTCGTAACCATACTAAATTTCATAAGGGTTTGGCTATTTCTGTGAAATCTGAATGCAATAGATTTTTAAAAACTTTAAACTTAGTGAAAGAAAACACCAAAAACTACTTAGATAATCATTATATTTCGTTGCCTGTATCACCAACTCGAGATTTATTTAGCTTTTTCTTCAAACTATCTAAGTCATTAACTTTATCTTTCACTAGCATCCTTCTAATCATATCATTCAGATCACTATCATCTTTATTATCGATTTTATTTGATCCTGTGATATCGATCACAGTTGCGTTGTTTTCATTAATATATTTATCTACTTCCTCTTGAATTTCTGTCGAGTTTACTTTTCCATATACACAATTTTGAGTTTGCTTTACAATTTGGAATGCTTCGTCTTCTGTTGTCTTGATAACTTCTATGAGACAAGCTTCATGCATAGCACCATGTGCCATTAATTTTGTTAATGATACTACACCATCTATTAGTTTGCCAGTAATACCCATCATTGTAGTCTTTATAGATGGCGACTGAAAATAGAAAAAAGTTTGGATGTCGGTTACTTTATGTGTTATTATCTATAACACCAAAAATTGAACATACATAAATAAATTTTCCGCGAAAGTTTAGTTCGATCCCATTTTGACCCGAATTTGTTGTAGCGCAAATTAGATTGCGATTTCCGGTATACGGCAACATTGTTGGAAATTTAGTGTAAATTTAGAATTCGCCGACTGTTTACAATTTAGTTACTTACAAATTTCGCATACATTGTTGTACAAAGTCTTCAGTTGCAAAAGCTGTCTTTAAAATATTAGATATTATTATAGAGATGCAGATAAATCCTTATAATATTTAGTATACATGATACAATTCTACATTTCACTCAATAGAGACTTTATAGACAACAAAAACAACTTCCATCTCAAAAGTCCTAAGACTAACCAACAGTAGTGACAACTTAACTATTTAAATAAATTTCGTCTCACTCTCACCTTGGAAATGACGCACTTGATGACCTTTTTCAAAGAGTCGTGATCGTGTCCGCAGACTTTTAACAAACCTAACACCTCTTGCTTCTGATCGAATAACTGAAAATCAAATATATTTTCATTTAATTATTTAATACACAAATTTTAATATGTGAAACTTAAAAAAATGTCAGCCGCTTTTTTAAGTTTCGAAGCATTACAATCCGAGTAACTTGTCATATATCTAACAAAAATTGAAGAAAATCTATCAGTACTTAGTAACAAGTATACAATGTGTGTTAAAATTCTAAGTGAATATGTAAGCTTAGTTTTCAGTTATGCTAGTCTGATAAAAAACGCTTAGAACAAGACGTTCAGAATAGCGCTGTTATAGCATAGAGGTTCAATGAAATAAAATCTTAATTATCTTCTGAAAAAGGCTCTATTTGACGCACGACGTCGAGTTCGAGGCTGTGTTTATATCAGAACTAGACTATTTGACAGTTTTCCTATTAGCCATAGCATGATGTTATATAGCCTTTAGCCTTCCGCAATAATTGGACTATTCAACACAAAAATATTTTTCTATTCGAACCAGAGTCTTGAGATTAGCACGTTAACCACAAACCATCAAACATACTCTTCAGATTTATAATATTATTAGTATATATATTACTTTATAACTCTCCTTAAACATGTTTTTAATAGATATTGCTATGTCCAAAGCTAATTCAGATATTGTTGTAAAAAACTATGTTAACTTTTTTTCTTAACGATGGACTCACAGGTTTCATACTGGAGGTTATCATGGTCTTGAGAGTTAACACTTTTCGTACTGCCTCTGCTGGGTCATGTCCAATCAGCGCATACCCGCAAACTACCATTTGATGAAGCGCTTTCTCTGCAAGGGCTGATGTTTCATTTTGTTTAGCATCGAGACATTGGCCTACCTGTTAGATGTGACAAACATAAATCTGCAACACTCGACTTTATCTGGAGCATGGATTTTTTCAGTAAGAACTTAAAAAGTTCATCCGTCTATGATTTGGACTGATATAAAATAATTTAGAGGCAGAAATTCATAAGAAGTATGTCATTATGTAATGTAATGTAAAGATTTGTCAGAATAGCTATGATGTCTTGTTTTTGTTTGTTTGTCCTTCAGATAGATAATTGAAGAATTTATTAGAAGAATTATTTAATACGTATTTTTTTATTTTTTCGCGTGATCAATAATTTACTATGATACATTGATTTAAAATGTCAGATGACGTCACATCTTTGTACATTTTCTACATAGTAGTGATGTAAAAAACCACCAGTCCTCAACTTTAATGCGTATTATCTATGCCATTTCATTTTAAATTTAAGAGAAAAATACGAATATAATATCTTTCTCTTGTCTGACTGACGAACTATATAGAATTTCTTTTTTACCCTGTAATCATACCTTTTGTGAATATGGAAGTCGACATCCTTGCTTCTCTTACCTCTAAAGGAAATAGATATAAATTTTAATATGCCAGCGACCTTATTTTCTGAAGTCATCTTCATATTTTCAAGTATGCCCTGAAGATCATCCAGCCGCTCTTGAATTTGCACGGTGCCGTTCTGCAGTAAAAGTTTTATCTTCACCAGAACCATATCCACAGACCTGATGTGATGACGTCATCATTACTTTAAATATTTATGTCGCCTAACTTATCAAAGAATTGCTCCAAAATGAAATGTGACCTTTCTAGAATGTTTGTCAACCACTAGAACTACAGTTACCTTTCTAAGTCCACCTCAAACTTTTTCTGTATGCTTTGCAGTAAATCTTCACCGAGTTTTGCCGTTAGTTCATCTTCTATCACCTTGTCTATCTCGTCTTTGTCTGGTTCTTCGCATCGTATAACCTTAATCAATATTATTTTAAAGACAGCAACAGTTAAAATTGAAATATCTGACAAATTATCTCGATTTAAAGTAGCAAAACAAAGAGCATATTGTGCCGCTGACTATGAACGATGTACTGTTAATATAAGTTGTAGCGTCCAATACGATAATGGCGTAAACTAAAATAGAATACAGGCGTATAGAATATACCGAGGCGTTAGGATCTATACGCTATTACTTCAAGCTACTTAGCCATTCACTATTCTCAGCGCATAATAAAGTAACGTACTCGAATTACTAAAATCTCCTATTGATAGCGTAATAATGTAGATTTAAAATCAACGAAACGATGATACTCTTGTTCTCCGTTGGCAGCTAACTATAAAGGTTGGAACATATGCTAACATTTACAATGAAATCGTTAATAAATTGAAAAAAGAGGTCAGTTAATTATTTAACACTAAATGTACTCACCAAGATAAAAGAGAACAATACATAAAACCAACTCTGACACCAAACATACCTCATAATTCGCTAGCTAAAGAAAACTTTAAAAAAATTACTATATCGAAATAACTATTGCGAAATAACGCGGCCAGTTTACGATCGCAAAATGTAGTAAAAGTTTATTTTACTACCATCCAAGAGGCGTTACGCGTTTTGACTTTGGGAAAAAAAATTAATGTTGGCGCCACTCAAAGATTGTTTTGCCAAAACAATTTTTTTTGTTGTTGTGACATCTAAAAACTAAACGTTTATCTTGTAAACACAGATTTTAATTTAGCATAAAAGAAATAAGTAATGAATTTAGATTTTTTTTTTTATATATTCTTGAAGTCGATGAGTTTTTATAATAAATAATGATATAAATGGTTGTTTATGCGCATCTTTGTCTAGACACATTATAAAGAGAATTAAATAGCGAATGAAACAAGTATTCCTGTTGGAATTAAGCCGAGAAAATATGTAGTATATTAGAATCAATAATCTACATATAGATATATAAAAGGAGATGTCCTAACATACTGACTGACAGACAACGCACAGCCTAAGCCATTGGCCGTAGATACTTGAAATTTGGAGGGGACATTCCTCTTAGAGGTGTACCAAAAACGGATTTTTGTTAATTCCACCCCAAAGTGGGTTAAAAAGGGTAGTGTTTGTATGAAGCTTCTTTGTTTCTTTGGTATTTGAGTAGTTTAAGACTCTGGGAAGATAAAAGGTTATATTTATCCTGAAAACCAGCACTTAAAAGGATAAAAACGCCAGTGGAAGTTTATATGAGGAATCAAAAATTTACAATAGCAACCATTGTTAACAATTTGATTTGTCAGTGTAAAAAATGTATCTAACATTATTTATAAAGATTTCCTAATATAGATATGAAAATTGGTATTTGATAACATAATTTTAAACAAAACTTACATTTTAAATATAAAATTATGAAAATATTCAAGTGCAAATCATTTTATTTCATTTTATATACGAAAAAAAAAAACAACTTTTTATATATTTTGAGCTTTACTAGATAGCGTTATGTATATTCTACATCGCACTATTTTGCTCAAAGATTTAAAATAAAATGTAGTAAGCACTTTGCCATACTTGATGGCATTTATTTAGTTCAAAGAATTTCGAGTAGATTTTAGTTCCCGATTAAGTTTTGTCTAATTTGTTTCATGTTTTTCTTTCCGACTGTATTTAAAATATGATAAATAGCTTTAAAGTTTTCAAAGTGCTGAAATATGTTAAGAATTCACTAGGCATTGGTCGGTGTACACATCCAAAATTCAAATTTCAAAAATTAGTTACTTTTTTATAACGCCAATCTTTTCTAATCTTATTAATTAAAAAACCAATTTCTTTGAATAATAATGCAATATGAATAATGAATAAAGCAAGTAAGACATTTTTCGACATGTGACCGACATTTTCTATGTCTCCTGAAGAGTAAGGGTATGCTTGAAACCCGACTTTATTATTTTCCTGTTATGTCTTAATTAATATAATAGTAGGTATTTTGAAATTTTAATGTGGTTCTTCCGGTAGGCCTATTCCACGGTCTATTACATTAAAATTTAATGAATGTTTGGTTATTCTTCTTCTTTTTAGTCGTTATACACTTGTCAGAGTGCTCAATGTCGATCAGATACAGCTCGAGTGACAAGTCCCGTTATACTTGGTTACAAACATGTTTTATTCATCATCGTCGTCATTAATAATTTCTTCTTCTTCCCCTCCATCTTCTTCTCTCTCTCCATTTCTTCTTCATCCTCTTCTTGAGTTAACGTAAATTGTACTAACAGCGATACATCAGTTATTTCGTCGTTGATGGGAAAATCTTCTTCCGCTGGAGATTCAACATTTGAACACGATTGGCCTTGACAAGTGGTGCACGCTAGTGAACAAAATAAGCTTTTTCTCAAAAACGGTTAGTGTTATGAAAAAACGTGTTAAGACAATTTTTGTATATAATTGCATGATCTACAATTTTTGTCTAACATATCTTTTCATAAAACCAACCGTTTCGCTGAAAAATTAACAAAAAACATTTTTTCATACAACCTTTGACCTTGAATAATTTTTTTTGCAGACATGGGATCATTGTGGTCCATATTAGCCCAACTGAGAATCAAACCTACAACTCATGACGTATCAACACTTAAATCCGAGGTAGTCATAACTGTCAGTTATTTTCTAAACACAATTGATTATGAAACCAATCATAGTCGTAAAATATGTTTGGTAAACATGTTACAATATTTTCAACTCATTTGTGATGTGAAACATGTCAAGTTTATGTAACAAACCGCCTGTATGACTGATCCATGTCTAACTCAAAGATATTATACTATTTTAATTTTAAAAATGTTCATACAAATATGTGAAAACTAAAGGAAAGTTTTGAAATATTATTGTACCTGTCAACCAAAGATATTGTGTTGAATATCGAGTCACAATGAATCATGGTTGTTTGAATTATATTATTACATTGCTTTTTCACATAAAAATCCGTAGTGTAGCTCAAACGATCTCAGCGTACAGACAACGGGAAGTGATTTGGTTAACTATGTACAGATTCTGAGAAAAAACAATCCTTGTCGGGTTTATTGCTCGTTCTTATCAGTACAAGGTGTCCCGCCGTACACTTGCGAACCGATGGCATAGCCTCCGACTTTCACAGGCATTTCTAAAAGCCTAGGCCGAATAAAGATTACTGAACTTGAATTAATTAATTATAATTATTGAAGGCGCTCGAAGAGTAGCTCGGTGGCGTAGAAAAATTATTATCTCGAGCTACTCTGTGCTTCGGAAGGCACGTTAAGCCGTTGGTCCCGGCTGCATTTGCAGTCGTTAATACCCGCCAATCCGCATTGGGCCAGCGTGGAGGGTCATGGCCCATCCTCCTTAACCATCCATAAGGAAGGCCTGAGCCTCTGCAATGGGGATGTAAAAGTGCTGATGATGATGATGATTGAAGGCGCTACTTTCTTGAAGCGAGAGTTGTAAGCGTTTTAATTTATAGCTCGCATTAACATTGAATAACAAACCATTTATTATCATTTAAACATAACTGGAATTCAGAATCGAAAAAACATACCTACATTACAATATGCTTGTAATAGGTAAGTGGATGTTTACTTAAGTGATATCGATGGAGCAGATATGGAGGTAGATATTCCAGATATATCGAAAGTTACGCCTGAAATTCACCATTTAGTCAATTTCAATATTCGTAATTATACACCTTTTTAATGAGGAAAATTAAAAAATATGCCAGTCACTTCGTGACTACTTTTATAATAAATATAATGTTTTGCAAATGATTATTAAAAATAGCCTTAATAATGGAATTTAGGTCTAAATTCTAACCTAAACACCAATAATGCTATAAATAAACAAGGTTAAGCGTCACAGTAAATTTTCACTAAAATTGCACTCCTAGTATCAGTCCAAATTCATATTATACGGAGAATAAGCAAACCTACTATAAGCAAACCTTTTATTAACCTTTATAATTTTAACTAATACTTAGTGCAATCTCAACGTTAATTTACTCCAACGCTAAACCTGGTTTATAAATAAACTGTATTGGTATATTGTTTAACATTAGAAAAAAATAATATGTTCATGCATCATACATATCATTTTTAAAATGAAACAAACAGAGGTGGTGGCAGTGATATATTTATTTTAACGAACAATAAAAAACAGGTAACTTAGAACTTGGTACTGCTCCGTGAGCATTTGGATTTACAAAAACGCGGATATCTTCGTTTATTCACGTTTATTTCTTCTTCATCCTGCAAAAACGACCTTTTTTCATTATATGAGAATTGTTTGAAAATTGACACATATATGATCCACATAAAATTGATGCACATATGAGTCACTTCAAATTGATACTAATATCAGCCATTTAAAGTTTACACATATATGAGCCACATATTATTTTCATATATACGAGCCACATAAAATTGGTACATATATGAATCACTTCAAATTTGCACATATATGAGCCACATACTATTGACACATATATGAGTCACATAAAATGGATACATATATGAGCTACTTGAAATTGATACATATTTGAGCCACATAAAATAATTTTACGACGGGCAATACGCCACTTTATGTCCCTGTCTCTTTTTAAGGGAATTTAATTTTGACGTCCGGTCACAATGTTCCCAGTACGGAGACTCCTTTCCCCTTAGAAAAAACTCAGGACCTAATAAGTGCAGGACCAATAGCTCATACTCTTTTTAGCCCCAGGCTCGGGGCTTCAGAAAGTCGTGTAACCTTCGCATTCGTAGATCGAATCCATCAACCATTACGTCATACGAGTATCAGTGCGTCATTATGATTTACTTGTGGCCCGCAACCGCGGCTTCACAGGGATCGCTTGTATTTGTAATTAAATCACGGAAAATCATTAAATATATTGTTTTATACAGTAATAATTTTTATGAGGCTCCGCGGACTACTGTTTAAAAACCATTGTACCACTATCTAATCTAATAATATATTATAAGTATAGAAAGAAATATTTGATTGTTTAGTTCTTTACAATAAATAGGCTCCGTAACAACAGGAACGATTTAAAAAAAAAATTACCTACAGGGAACTACATACGCGGGTGATGTAGGCTTAAATTTACGAAGAAGTCGCGGGAACACAGTTAGTCAGGGATAATATAGAAAGTAAAACAGTTTTTCCAAAGGGTCCGGTAAACTTAGAAACATACAAATCGTTATTTTTTATGAGTGTTATTATTAAATTACATACAGGTAGTTGAATAATTCTCAAAATAGCTTACATCTGCTTTGCAGCCACCAGCTCGACAATAATCCTCCCTATCGTATTTTGATAAAATTGAATAAACCTGTGAAGAAACGATATTTATTGCTTTGTGCGTTATTCATGAATGAATGATGAATGAACGGTTGACGAATCGTATTAAGCGGTAAGAAATGTATGAAAGAAAACAAGTCTTGAGTAGAAGGGACAGTCGTAACAAGACGTATTATATATTGCATTTTGTGAAAGATATATTTATTATTTTGTGATTCAGTAACAAGAACTGCGTTATAAAGGATTGTAGTACTGACTTTTCATAATAAACTAACATTAGCAAAATCGCGCTAAAGATAAGCTATTACATGCCTATTTAACTGTCGCCATCTATTGCACAAACAAGGCAACAAAAATAGCTCAAAGAATTGCTTGAATAAGGAAAGTGACATCATTTCCTATGAATTCATGCATCTGTACTAAGTATAGTATTATAATATCTGTGGATAAACAAACATACCATTAACTTTCCTTCATAAAGTGCATTTACGGTACAACACATAAACGTGTCAAATGCTAGAGCAGATTTCTCGATCACACTGTAAGAGAGAAAGAGAGTTTTGTACAAAATTTTAATCGCTCATAAACAAACTTTAGGGGGCTCATCTTAATGGTCAATAAAACAATAACAAACTAATGACAGCTAAGAACAGAAATCGCCTGCTAAGTCATCGACCAGTGCATTTGAGCCATAACGACAGAACATAGTTCATTACAAAGCAACCAAGCCAAAATGTTTGCTCTAACGTCTAACAGCCAGTTGCACAAACGTCCATAAAAAAATTCATTAGTTTAATGCGACATTACCCATACGAAATTGACATTCATTTGAGCTTATAGGCGTCCTTAAACGTTAATGGACGTTTGTGCAACTGACCGTAAGCCTGGTTTTAGTGACCGTCCGCGCTGACGACTGCGCGCGTAGCTTTCAGCGCAAGCTGTCAGCGTATACTCGTTTCAGTGTCGTGCTGATCGCTGCCAAGTGCAGACATGGCCAATCCTGTGAGTGTTCAAATTGCTGCAGTATACCTTATTATTTATGCAAAAAGAAAGAAGCGACAATGAAAAAGAAGAATACAGCATGATCATTCGCTTTTGCCCAAATATTGCTAGTGACACTGTATTAAACAAGTTGACAGAGTTGAAAGGGATAATTTTAAACCAATAGCAAAAATCAATTATTGTAATTGTAGTTAACTAGCTTTCCGTCAGTGGCTTCACCCGCGTGGTCCTGAATTTTACATATAAATCTTTAATCACTCTCTAAATTGATGAAAACCCATTAAAATTCCTTCTGAAGTTTGAAAGATCTCAGCGTACAGACAACGGGAAGCGGCTTTGTTTTATATTATTTAAAAATATCAGATACTTACCGTGTCACACCGTCATATAAGTTACACATAGTGGCCACAGCTTTTTTCTCGGGTACAACATTATTTTCATCACAAATAGTTTGTGGATCACCCAAAGGAAGATACTGAAATTCAACAAATAAATATTATCCATCACATGCATTGTGCAAATTCCAAATTAAGTAGTTAAAGACAGCAAAAAATGTTGTACACATAAGGCCTACTCTGTTTCCCCGAAAACGAAATAAAGTATATTTTTAAAACTATTAGGACTCTAAAAACACTTTAAACTGTCATAGGAAGTGAAACATTATACTTAATAATCTTCTATAACCATTCTGAAAAATTCTTAGATTATGTAAAAGTTATCTTAGTTCACAAGTTAATAAACTTCAATTGAATGCCATAAAAACCAAATTTATAAAATTCACTTTACCTAATATAAAACCACCTGATATTAAACTACGGACGTCTTCCGGCTGATGATGATGATGATGATGATGATTAAACTAAACAACAATCATTTAGAGTTTGTAAGTTCAACAAAATTTTTGAGCATATCACTATCCAGAATTAAAACTGCAATGGAACCCGCACGTTTCAATATCGAAAACTCAGCTCGAAAATAAGACAAATGACCGATATAGAATCTGCCCGGACAGTGTACTTTAATTATTTTCACAGTATCATGTGTTATGGTATTACATTGTGGGGAACGGCAGCCGATTTTCTGTTTATGTTTGTTTTACAAAAAAAAAAAGCAAGAAGAGCTATCCATCGGTTAGGCTCAAGAACATGTCTCTGAGAAAAATTTAAAGCTATTGGAATATTGACGTTTGCATCTTAATTTATATACGAGTATAATTGTCTACTTTTTAGAAGTAAAAATAAGCTATTAATGCCTTCATATAGGTTACAGAAGGCTTTAGGTTCATTCATGGGCATACAGTACTTTAACAAGTATTAGATTTGCCAACAAATCGTTTTTAAAGTCGTATTACAAATTGTCTACAAAGTAAAGGATATTATACTATTAAAAAATATTTAAATGGCATGGTGTTAGATATTGTAACCTATTTTTAAACATTGTACCTATGAATTATGTGCCGTATCCTGCAGCCATTGATAGGTGTATCAGAACTAGCTTCCTTAATTACTGCATTAGTTCAAGACCTAGAGTAGTCACGCTCTCTTAAAATTCTGCGCAGTAGTGTTGTTTGCATCGGGTCGTTACGTTCCCTAAAATATGGTTGAGCCAAGCGATGGCTGGCTCATGCGTCATGCTCGTGAACGGGTGCTGCCAGTGTGAGTCTGCTCCGGACTACATAATTTCGTCCCATTTTCTTTTATTAAGAATACTGTATATTGATTTGTTAATGAGTATGTATGACTCGGCATCTGGCATATTAATCACTAATCGAAAATATGTCATATCTGTTATTGTAATGGAAAATGACTTCATAGTCTAATGAAGTCACTTTCCGATAAAGCCCTTGCTGAGTTTCTTTCCGGTTATTTTCTTTTTTTTTTATACATAACCTAGAGTGAATGAACGATTTTGATTTTTCGATTTCTATCCTTTCAAAATTAATTTTATAATAATCCCAACCATGTATTGGCTACGCATGTGAAATTGGAAGAATCGTGTGAAAGGAGAAGAATAAAACATTTGTCGATAATTTATGATACAATGGAAGACGAACTGGACACTGCAGCTGATGCAAAGATAATTAAAATAAAATTTCGAAATTTCATTCGTAAACAAACAGAAAAATTATAAATGTTATAGTAGCTTAATAACTGCTTCCCTAATTAAGATGAAATTGACTTAGCACACAGACATTTTGAGACCCTGGTAAGAAGAGGAGAAGAAAAGAAGAGTTGAAATTTTAATAGATAATAATTATTTCTCAAGTTGAGCCTTGCTAATATTATAAAATTATATAAGTAACGCAATGACTAACTGTTTTACAGCCCGTTGCACAAACGTCCATTGAAATTGTCATTAGTTTAAATTGCCATTACCCATACAAATTTCGCATTCATTAGAGCTTGAAGGCGTCATTAAACCTTAATGTACGTTTGTGCAACTGAGCGTTAGATTATCTCTAAGGTAGCTACAGAAAAAACTTACCAAAACAAATAAACTAGTGACAGCAAACAAGAATATTTTGGTCAAACACAAAACTGGACACGCACCTAAAGGGAAAGTTCCTAAATTAAAACTATAAAAATAATAATTGATGAAATGTTTAGATCGGTTGATTTCAACTTATAAAGATAATTGAAATCTTCTGTCACACAAACCTTCCCTGTAAGTAGAATAAATTAAAAAAGGGAGAATGTATGACCTTCGAAACAGGCTTAGTGCGGATTGGAAGATGTGAAGGACAGCTAGTTTTGAGTGGTTGAAAGATTTGTCTAATACTTATTTAAAGAAAAATGTATTTGACTGAGTCAGTTCCATTTTTATACATTATTCTCTATTAAATATTATATGTATATATATAACGAATTGAATTTACCTAAAGGCATCTTGAACGCTATTTAATATCAATAGTTTGGTCTTAAATTTATCGTAATCATCATTAGGATGTTTGCATTACTAAACTGTGTGACTGAAATTTCATATAATTTATATATTACAATATTTGTTTCTGAGAATTGCTTACATTATTTGTACACTTATAATAATTTCTCTAGAGAAATAGACATTGACTTGTACAATTTGCTCTATGACATTATTGATTAAGGAGTATGGTATGTATGGATGATTATATCCGAATCATAGCATATATTATCACTAGGATCAAGTTATTTAAAAAAAAGACAAAGATATACTTATAATTTTATAATAAACAGGTATGGTTTAATTATTATATTTGATCATTTTTTTCACAATACTAAAAATATCTTTAATGAAAAATGTTTAAAAAATCCATCATTCCCAGGTACCCCGAGATGGGACTTGAACCATAACCTTTGGCATTAGGGTCGACTGCTCTAAACATAGAGCTAGCCGAGACCCAACACGGCTGAAAAATTCAAGTATCTATTTCTTTTCGCTATCAGTGAGCCAATTTCATCTATATTCAGGCAATTCAACCAAACAACCGAAAGAAATACTTAAAACTTTCGAATATGATGTAAATTATAATATATTTGATAAATTCTGCATTTGCAATGCAATACTGTTAATATTTTAGTACATATTAACATAACTTGTCAAACAAGAAGACAGTAATCAAGTCATCAGTCTAACGATTGCCTAAGACAATTCCAATTAACGTAAAATAACGATATTATTCATTCTATATCTTAAAAAAACATCGCGATCGCAATCACAACTGTGAAATAATTGTAGCATGAAGTTTTTATTTTAAAATTAGTCAATTAGGCCCTTGATCATGAAACTAATTTTATCCTATTATAAAAGCGACCCTGTCCATTATGATCCACATATATTATTAGCTTTATCCACAGCCTGGAATCATCTGATTTTATGCTGAGCCTGGTTGAGCCTTATATAAACTTGTGCTCATTTCTTTAAATAAATATTTGCTTTACAAATAAATAAATGACAATTGTGCATTATTTTATTTCTTAAGCACTATTTACATATTGGCATTGTTATAAAAAGTCAAAAATACAAGGCTCTGACGATTCTAGAGTAAACTATTTATTTTTCATTTTTCTAGCCTTTGGACAATCTTTTACACAAGTCCGACCCTTAGCCACACATTTAGCACAGTTACTATTTGGTGAGGGTTCCGAACTACTCCCCGCGCCAGATGCAAGAACATTATCAGATGTTGTTTTACATAGAGATGAACGAACACTATCTGTTTTATATTCGCTTTCATGAGGTGTCTCGTCACTGTCTTTGGAAGTTCTTTCCGATTTTTCCTTCTTTTTATTTGTGACCTCTTCTTCGAGTATCTTTTTAGGTATTTTCTCAACTTTTGCTTTACTTAATTTATTCTGATCAATCCATTCATCTTTTTCAACCAGTGGTACATTGTCTTCGCGGAGACTTTCTAGACTTCCTTTTTTTCTTTTATTAACTTGATTTTTTAATTTATTAGCAAAACTATCCCGGTTGTCTACATCTTCATTAATTTTCAAATTTTCCTTTGGCCGTTGATCAACATTTGGCATACTTATCTGTAAATAAAAAATAAATTAAATCAAATAACTAACACATCATTACGTATATAAGATCAAAGGTCCTTAATAATAATTTATCTATCTCCATTCCACGTAAAATTTCTCGTAAAAATTACACATGTCTTTCGCTACCTTGACATTCACAATTCTTTTGATTCATGTTTTTCAGTATTATGGCTTTTGTTATTACCTTCTTGATAGCGTTCTATCACGCTATTAATATATCCAACAAAAAAAAAATGTTTTGGCCCCGTCTTGTAAATTCTTTTACTACCACCACCACAATATAACAATTCATTTCCTCATTTTATCATCCAGAATATGTGGAAAATCACTTAATGCAAATCAACGTGGCGCGAAGATTTCAAAACTTATAATACTTTAATACGTACATAAAATTACCTGAGCTGGTCTTGTTTGGCACGATGCTTGACACAATATAATTCTAACCAGAAACTCATATATACCTATAACCTGCAAAAATATAAATAACCATGTACAGAAACATTAACGCAATAACTAACGGAATTCGATAAAATAATTGTTTATATTTGCTGAACTTACCATTTGTAAAAAGTAGTCTATGCAATTGTAGGTGCAGGTTAAAAATTGTGTATACATTGTTGAAGCTGGTCTGCAGGAACTGGAAACAGTCAAAATAATAATTGCAACATTAACAGCTTAGTCAATTTGCGTATTTATTTTATACAAGATCACAAACGTGGCAAAACAAAAATACTATAATTATAAATAATTGGACAATTTTTCATAACTTAATTCTGTATATGAAAGTTTTCTATAACTTTAACCATTTGGGAAATATAATAAAAACTATTACTTCTGAATGTAACAAGAGTACAGACAATATTTTTGTATGAATAATTTGCACACCTGAATAAACTCTCTAAAAGCCCGCATGGGCAGGAGGTACAGGCGCAGGAGCTGCTAGTGCCAGGCTGCATTATACGGCACGGTCCTGTGTGGCTAGCCGGCAGACTACCGAGTCCTTTGAAACCGGTGTACTGTCCTTGCCGGCACAATGACCGGCAGTTAGCAGAGCAGAACTCCCTTAAAGCGGTAGTAGCCGGCGCGGTCTCTTGATTTGCGCTCTATACAAAGAGAAAGTTTTGTAAACAAACCTGATGAAATTTTCAATGAGCGCGCATGGGCAGTTCTCGCAAGCGCATCTGCTGGTTTCTGCGGCCTGCGCTCTGCGTGGCGGAATTATTCGACATTCTGCAGTTTGACTGTCAGGTCTGCTGCTGAGACCGCTAAGACTGCTGTACTCGCTGTGCCGGCATGATAAGGGACAACCTCCAGACCAGATCTGTCGGAGCGCAGACGCTGTTGCCGCGAATTGATTCTGTGTTGTCGTCTGCGCATCATTGAATAAGAAAATTACTAGTCATATGCCTTGTATTGGTTTATCTGAAGTTAGTGAAAAAAATTATACTAAACTAGACATAAGATATGATGTAGCGATATAACTTACATATGAGTAAAGTACTAATATCAAAATTAAGACCATCAAAACAAGATCGACAGTCATTGGTGAGACGATGGTTTTTCATCCTGTAAAATAATATTTAAAACTTATATAGAATTCGAGATTATAACTATAATCAAGTTATTAAAAGTCTTCAAATATGAATGTTTTATTATACTTCTCTAAAATGAACGTTTATAAGGACGGATTGCTTTATGAACATTAAATATTTTTAAAGGTTGTAAAGATGTTTCTGAATTATGGAGCAATTTTTATATATCATTTTATTGGTTTATTTTATAAGTAACCGTATCCAATCCATAATTTTATTTACTGATACAGTTTGACACTTTTAGTTTCTATGTATAGTTTGACATTATATCTGACGAATTTTTGAATATTTTTATAATATCAGTTAGGCCACGGGAATTATGGTAAATTCCACATGCATTGTGAAAATATCAACTTTGTTTTATAGATACTTACATTTATAGGTATGTATGGAAACCGTATTAAAATCCGTTGTGAATCTGAGCGTACATACAGACAGCAGGGTGCACTTTCGTTATAAACTATTGCATCGGGAAATTTTAATTTGTAGAAGGCAACATTCCGGAAGAAGAACAACGTCGTCTTGATACTTGTACTTCTTTAATCTAAGATTTTTATATAATAAACATTTTTAAATAATTGTTTCATAAAATGGAACGTACCCCTGACCATATTTCTATCTCGGCAAATTTTGACATAGATTAGCCATCTGTGTGAGACATAATATAGTGCAGAAATATGCCCTGTACACTCTATATTACCAACATTTAGACGGAACAGACCAGAAAAAGCTCAATAATATTTTACCTGACCACTAACACGAATAAATAAAAGAAGCTTTATGTATTTCTTTATTGCTAATCACCACTTATATTCCAACTGCTATGAAATCTGCTTTAGTTTATTTTCTTATTTTCACGGTTCCTATTTTTCACCCGGTGTAAAAATTGTCTTCATATCTTCTCATAGTCTGTTCATTGTTCTTCATTGTCTTCATATCAATGACATAGTTTTTATTTTCTGACATTTTTTAATGGTTATAATAATGATCTAGTCCTATTATTTAGGACTGATTTGATTTTAATTACCTATATTTAAATTTAATAATTAAATTAATATGATATTTGCATGCTAATGTAATAGCTAAGTGACCTGAACTATAATTGTCTTTCCATCTTTTATTATACCTCATTTAATAGCAAATAAACGATTACTATTACTACTATTAAGCCTTTGTAGCGGAGGGAACTATGCATTACTTTTACAATAATCTAATTGTATGTACAATAAAGTAATCAATTATCAATTATTCTCGTTCACAATAATTCATTTTATTGTAGTAGTCGAGACGCCAACGAATATTTACGAATTAATTCTTTAAAAAAAAGTTAAGTATCAAGACTCTTCATTGCTTGTTAGGACTTACTTTAAAATAAAAAAAAATCACAAATATTTACAAAAAATTCTTAGAGTATATGCTTGTTTCTATATACTCTAAGAACAATTTACAATTTGACTTGACAGTTGTCAACAGTAGACAATTTATATTGCCATATAAATTGAACCTAAAAGTTTATCATTTGTCATATTAATTATGACTTTTAATAAATTATTTATTGATTTATCAATTAATTTTGACATGTTTATTTCTAAAACTAGCTTTTCACCAGCGGCTTCGCCCGCATGTTCCTGTAATATACATATAAACCTTCCACTTGAATCACTTTGTATATTTATCAAAACTGCATTTAAATCCGTTGTAATCCTCAGCGTACAGACAGCGGGGAACGACTTTGTTTTATACTATCATAAAGATAAAGTTATAATTAAATAAATACAAGCGTCCCCTATTAACAGTCGAGATGATAAAATACGACGCTCGAACATCAAAGCTCTTTAATAAAATGCACTTTCAAAATTTTTTTACATGTTTTATAAGGTTAATATGTGTTATGCTGTTATGCAGGTTATGCTTAATATGATGCTGTTATGCGGCAAAATTAACGACAAAATTTAAATATCTTAATTTAAAAACTTTTCCATAACATTTACACAATCGAACATATAATCAAGCTTTTTATGAAATCGCTAGCTGTTTTCCCTCACTTCGCCCGGGTAAATTATAGCATAATATTCCCCACGTAATGTAGCTTCACGCAGGTGTTAGAACATTCATGATCAGAATAGTTATTTTAAAGATTACCCCCTAATAAGAATCTTAATTTTAAAGATTACCCCCAGTAAGAAATATAACATTTTATTATGAAGCTTTTAAAATTATTTATTGATTAATATATTGCTATAAGCTTGATGGCTTAGTGGTTAGCGCGTTCGGTTTACGAAACGAATGACCGCGATAGGTGACCAAAAATGTATAATCTTGAGTGTATTTATAATCTCCGTGCTACGGAAGGCACGTTAAGCCGTTGGTCCTGGCTGATATTAACATCCGCAACGGGCTGCATTCTTCGCATTTCCATCCATAGGCAATTCCTGTGCTCCAGCACTAATAGGAAGATGATGATGTTTCATCGTAAGTTTATACAATAAAAAATTATATCACATGAAAATTTAGATTTTTTTAACAAATTGTGTTGTGTTTATATTGTCTATCTATATACATCAATACGTGGTTTCCCTCGCAGGACAGGTGGAAAGTACCGAGAGCATCACGGTACCGTCTCTACACACATCTTTCAATATGACATTCATAACCCTTTTATTAAACATTTTTAGTGGCATCTGCTATTATCTTCTGAAAAAATGTAAAATAATTAAATGATTTATACAGAAACTTATTTTTACAGAAACTGAAGGCCTAAGCAGCGGGTGCGAGGCGAGCGGGGTGCGGGAGGAAATAGCCAGGGATTATGCTGCTCTACAGACAAGATTAGGGAAAGAATTCTCTGACAGACGAGGGAAACTCTATGCCGGTGAGAAGCTCTATTTATGTTAAGCAATTATTATCATTGAGTTTTTCCACTAACGATAATTGAAGAATTTCTTGAAGTAAACCGTCAGAGACAGTGTATGGTCTTACATTCATTACAACATAACCTATCGTAAAACGGGTTTCCCAGGAATCATATTAGGGTTTCAAAAATAGACACTATTTAGATTATGGAGAAACAGATAAGGCTTTCAGATTCCTATATAGTGATGTAGCTTTCCCGATTTCAGATGTAAATTAAAACCATGATATTTTCGACAAAGTAGATATAAATACCGTGATGAAATAACATATCCCAAAGATTAGTACACACTGCACAATAATAAATACAAGTATATTTCAAATAGTGGAAGGCTAATTAACCCAACCAGTCTTTTTTATTGGCATTTATTATTTATTATTAATTCTAAATATTAGAATTAGTAAAACTGGCTGATTCAATTGGAACAATTTGTATTGCAAACTCTGATGTAATAAAGTTGATAAATAAAGTAAATCTAACTTATCTTTAATTCTTTCCTATAGAATCTAAACCCGTTGCGACAGAAGAACAGCTCTCAACAGACTTTCGTAAGAAGCTGGCAGAATGGCAGAGAATGAAAGGAGTTCGTCAACCACCACCTGTGCCCGCTAGACAGGATCTCAGTGAAGATTTCCTAAAAAAATGGGGTAACAACTCTATTATACCATAAATCCCATAAATTTTATCATGATAATTATTAGTACCGGCCTCAACTTTAAAGCATACACTTTAATTCCCTTAGAATCTCAAATTACTTTTAAGAAACAACTATTAATATTTTGCAAATATGTAGATTCATTCATTCATTCTTAAGATAACTGTATTAGGAATCTATTTTGGATCATGCCTATTTCAGATGAATGGAAGCGTATGAAAGAAACCAATTCAGTACCGGCTTGGGAAGAAGAAGCAAAACCGGATGAGGTGCTAGTTCAAACCTCAACTGGCCTTTTCAAATTTCAAGGTAAGTGTTTGAATAGATTTATATTTATTATTTATGAAAATTTGTATATATCGTTATCTGTTAATAGTTTTAACATGAAATATATAAATGTTTGTAGGTATATCCCGTTCATTCACTCGCAAACTTCACGAATGGGAAAAATCCCGGGGAATTGCCCCTGAAGCATCTACATCCGCTCTCCTGCAAGCTGCACGAGCGCGCAACAAAGCTCCACCGGCACCACTCACACGCACCCAATCTGATGGCAGTGTAGCGCCATCTATCGCCGGGTCTGGACGTCACCACGCATCTAGTCTTAGTGTTAATGACGCCGATGATTTTGAGTCAGAATATGAAAGGGAACATTGTGTAAGTATCTATAAAAAATATAGTAAAAAGATTATTCAATTTAACTTGCTCATCATACATACTTCAAAACTTATATTATTAAACTTCAGGATGAAGGTATTGATGAGGGTGATGGTGTTCGAGGTGCAGTACTTGTAGAAGTAGAAGCTGAAGAAGTCTGCACAGCAGCCCCTCTCTTTGCTGTCTCGCCTCGACACACGCCTCAGAAGCCAGTATATACATATGGTCCGGCTGAAGCCCGACTACTATGTGAAACAAACGCAACAGTCACAGGAACGGCTGTGTTACAACCCAACTCTGGTACATTATATTTGATAAACTACAAAATTCACTACATCATTCTATAAATACGTAATTATGAATCAAAATTTTCAAATAATTTTAATATATTTATGGAATTCATTAGTTATATTTTCAGACGCACGTAGAATAAAGTCAAAAGAAAAAACCGAATCTAAATCTAAGTCACCTCATAATCAAGTAAGTAAGTCGTTAAGATATTCTTTTCCAAAATTATTATTTTACATTTTGACTATGAAATAATTATTACAGCCCAAAGAAGATGACAAAATTAGTAAAAGAAAAATAAATCGACAACCGAGTATAGAAGAGGATGCTAGATTTATTAGAAAGACTATAGAAGAAATAGAACGTGGCAGTTCCTCTCGTTTTAAAGAGGAAACTACTGGTGATGAAGATAATACTATTTCGATGAGTAGAAAAGCCGATAAAGAAATTCCTTCTACGAGTAAAGGTATAATTCAAAAACCTTCAAAACAAATGTGCTCTGTAAAAGAAAAAGAAGAAGCTAATGTCGAGGATATATATGATGAAAATAAACGTAAAGAAACAGATAAAAGTAACGGGAAGAAAAAATCAAAGTCAAGAGCTAGATTGGAACGAGAACAATCGAAACCTTCAGAAAGTGACACAGAGCATGATGTTGATACTGTAACTGTTGAGATTCCAAGAAGACGAAAAAGACCCCGAAAAGCATCAGAGAGACCAAAAACTCCTCCCTCACACTATCATACGGATTCTGAAGGCGAGGTATAAATAACAGAATGTTTGTAATTACTTTTGGAGAGTTTAATAGATTGTTGAAAACCATATTTAATTAATATATAATACAATTAATTAAAATATAATTAGAGTACCTGTCCAACGATATTTTTTATTGAATCATCATCATCATCATCATCAGCCCTTTTACGTCCCCACTGCTTTTATTGAATAAAATAAATTTTGAAAATAATAAATAACTTTATTGAATAATTAAGTATTATTTTCAAATTAGTCCTGTTTTAATGTTAAAATTTACAAATTAAATATTTGAGAACGTACTTATTTATGTTTATTTACATTTTTAGGTATTCGTACTGAAACTTAAAGCACCTGAACCCCGTGATGGTTCTCCAGAAGTAATAGTAAGAACAACTCGTAAAATATTTTCTCCTGTAGTAAGGAGTGGTGAAACTATACCGCGGGCAGTCATACCACTAGATGTTGATGAATTAGTTGAAGCTACACCTTCAATGAATCATTCAAACTACCACAACAATGACAGCAGAAAAGCGGAAACAAAATGCAATAGAATGAAAAAAGATACAGAAACACCTTCTGGAGATCTTCAAGAGAGTGAAGAACAACGTCCAAGGACAAGACCACCGTTACCATCTTCCCCATCGTCGCAACGTAAACCACAACCGAAAGAAACTGCACCATCTATACGGATTATGATCCAACGGTATAACATGAAGATTAACGAAGAAGGTGATACGCAAAACTACGTAGTTTGAATATTTTTTTATGAGATCTGCTTGTTTGTTTTTTAATTATTATTAGATCAAATCTTCTATAGTTTCATCCGTCCGAGATACTTAAATGTTTTTATATTAAAAAAATAGTGTTCGCTAGAAAAACTTATCCGATAATAAAGCCGTGGTTCTATTAACGAATGATAAGTATTAATTCAGATAAAAAATTTTGAAGGCGCTCTTATAAAAAAAAATTGTACTGGTAACGTGTCTTCTCAAAATATGTAGTCCTTTAATATGTATATTACTATATGTCCCTAAGAACATCTTTTTAAAATACATTTACTTTATTTTTACGGTTGAGTCTTTTTTCGTTATTTGTATTTTTTTCTGTATAATTATTGTTTCCTACTACTACAGGGCACACATCTGGAGCCAGTAGTGGAACTTCTTCTCCTGCTTGGAGATCTCCAACTGCTGAAAGACGTAGACCGCCTGACATGCCTGTCGGGGTAAATATCAGGTAAGATTTGTTTTTGGGGTAAGAAAATTATTACTTTATTATAATGTTTAATGACACTCAGATGATTATTTCAGAAATAACCCATTCCTTGAGAGAGAAGTACAGAAATCAGCCAGTGCATGTCAGTTATCAGAACGTTATCAAAACTCTGTTGAGAAACGGCTTGAACCTACGCCTGCAGCCGGACTTGATGGTGTTTTGAAGTCACATAGTGCTAATGCTTTACATCCAGAACAATCCAGGGTCGAATCACCATCGCCCTTGTTTAACGAAAAGAAAAAAGAAGACAGCCAAGAGACTATTAGACCTATAACTGCGAGTACAGACACAATCGTTCCTGATTTGACAAAAAACTTACCAGAATACCAGCAAAGCACCTACGTCACACAATCATTTCCAGTATTAAGACAATTATCAGATGTAATAGTTCCCAGTGTATCAAAGTTAATTTCGGAAAATCCCCGAATATTCGATAGATCGGTGTCAGCAACTACAGCCCCATCGACTTTGGCGGAGACTGATGTTGCAACAGCGAGATTGTCAGAGCGAGCTGCCAAGATTCGTGCTGCTAGAGAAAGATTCCTTTCATCTTCTATTCCCATGAGAAGAGAGGGTACCAGTTCAGCCAGCGACTTGAGGCCTGGTGACAGGTAAAACAAATGATTTTTAACTTTGCTGCTATAAAGTCGAACATAGATAAGCGAGAGTTCGAGAGACCATAACTTTTTTCACTATAGAGATCTGTTATGCTGTCTATTAAGGGTTTCCAACAATCTATTGCTGATAGTTCTAAATTCTCAATTTAGTAGCAAAGTCTTTGGATATTTGTTCGATTAAGAGTCCATGAGTCCATCAGTACATCAAAAACAACGGATAACTTTCCAAAATTTAAAACGCAGGTCATAAATAGCATAGTTATTTAATAGGTTCGAATATCACTCATAAAGGTAGTGACAAACGTCTGTGTTGGTTATAGAGGTACACCAGCGAAAAACGCTTTTCTTTTATAGAAGTTATTGTTTCTCACTTATAGAGGTTCTAGAGAGTTAACATTGGAACCTGATTCTAACTGTAATTTATAGAGTTTCTTCGCTTGCCCATTTTTCTCTTATCCAGGTTATTATCCAGTTTATAATTTATTTTTATTCTTTGAAGATCGAGTCGAATCAGTTGCGAAAGCGATGTAACTGAGGCAACGAGTTCCAGTAATCAAGAAACCACACTCGGTAGAAGTGCTTCCACGGGAATGGTGAATGTAGATCGGGAAGCTTGGCAGAGAGTAGCAGAGGGTTTGTGTGATTTATTATTTATACCAGTTCACATTAAAAAGGTCAATGATATTTTTTGACGTTTAGAAATAGAATATTATTTTAAATCTTAATGTGAATAATCAAAAACAATATTATGAATAGCCACAATAACAACCGTATATCAAATAATACCTGTCTCAATAGCGTCTTATTCAAGAAAATTCTATTGAATTCGGGCGGAGGTTTTCTGTTGGTTATGAACTTTTTAACGTTAGATTTTTTAAAGCTATATGTAAATTTTTTGAAAAAAGTTTTAATTTCATGTTTCTACTGATATTGAGACTTTTTTATATAATCGCTAAAACTAAAAAATATTAAATATAAATTAAAATATTCAATATAGTAAATGTCTTAGACAAGGGGATTTTGTTTATATGTTCAACATATTTTTTTCCAATTATTTCAACTCCTTTATATTGAGGAAAGTGAACATACACAAAAAACACATCGTCGAATATATGACTTCCTTTTTCTCGGTTTTAAAGTCGGTTAAAGAGAAAAACAATCTATTTGAAAATCAGCGTTTTTCCATAAATTCTAGACTATAAACTTACACTTTTGCAACAAGTTATTTGGCTACTATATCTTATTTATAATTCATACAAAGTCTGTAACTGTGTCAAAAAAATAAATTTAAATTAGTCTATGTTGTTGCAGGAGGTGGTAGCCGGTCCTCTCGACCTAGAACTCGATTCAGCTTGGCACGACTTGCGGCGCGGCTAAGACGCAAAGACGAGGGTGCTGTATCCAGCCTTTGTAGGCAGAGCCTACTGGTTCAACTACGTAACAAACACTGATTAAAATCACTATTTACCGTTATAGTTGTTTTATTAAAAAAACAACATTTGTTGAAACAACTACCAAATATGATGTTTGACGAAATATTTAGAATTCATATCTACATCTGTGACATCCGTATCTATTGAAAGTAATTACTTAAGAAATATTTTTAACGAATTAACAAGAATTTGAATGAAGTAAGTAATCTTAATAGTAAGAATAAGTTTTTATTTAATTAAAATTCACGTTTATACTCGTTTAATGGTTTAAAATATCTGCTCAAGTATTGCCAGTTTTAAATAATTACTTCTCTCGACTAAAGATACAAATCTCAGAACTTTGTGTTCGATTGTAAAATTTCGACTTTCGACAGGTAATCTTCTAAAAATGATGGCTCGAACATCCGATCCGGTCCGGTCGGTTAAGAAAATAATATAACAGTTTTAATAAAAAAATCTGTGAGATTTAAGTAACACTAAGGTTATCCGAATTTTCTTAAAATCGGGCTGTTTCAGTTTAGACGCTTAATAACTATAGCGTATAGCCTGTTATCTGAAATGTTTGACATTTAAAGTAATAGATAATTGAGTCAAAAAACTATCACTTCAATATATACTTTAAAAAAAAAAATTAAAAACCTATTTGCTCGATCTTCAAAATGTATGTTTGGTGAGGCGATTGAAAGATTGATTCTTCCTGAAAGCTAACATTATAATTTTATTTTCTATTTTTGACATTGACACAATTGACATTCTGAATTAATTCCATCGTATTATAATCTCATGTATATACTTAAACCTATTTAATATTAATTTTGTTACTAACTTGACCTCTGTGCTATCTATCATTATTTATCATACATTTATCTACACTACGGACTATTCATTTTTCATTAAGAATATTTATATCTTTTATTTTGGCCATTTTTTATTCTTCTTATTTATATGACATTGACAATAATCTGCCCCGCTCACTCTGGACAGCACGCGTAGCATGACGAACGCGACAACGTTTTGTCTACACTCAAATGTCACTTTTCTCGGGTGCGCCCATACGATATCTCACTCTCGACTCGAGAAACTGACAAATGAGTGTAGACAAAGCGTTTCTCGAGTTTGTCATGCTACGCGTGCTGGGTGAACGTTGAAAATTCGCCCATTCTTGACTTTTTCACCAACTGTACCTATTATTTAAATAAAACAACACAATAATGCTCTCAAAATTTATTATCATCAAATCGTGACATTACCGCGTTGACAAACTCGACCACATTCAATACTATTGGTAACAATAATTACCGTATCAAAAGGGGACATTGGAACTATTTATAACTTCATTATCAAAAACACTACATTTCAGTAATAATTATTAGTAATAATAAGACTCAAAAGAACACTTACAAACAACATTAATGGGTAATTTGGTTGAGGTAGTTCAATTTATAAATCTAAAACTAACTTTGCTCAATGGGGGACATGACAATTATGAGATAGATAAATAAATAATCGATATGGAACTACGTAATAATTCACAAAATTATTAATTTGTCAACATAAATTTTGTTACGGTAAAAAATTAGTAAATAATCAGAAAGTAACTAAATATGTAAAAAAATATAATATTTTTACATAACACACATTAATGATTCCTGACAAAAAATATTGGTCAAATTAATGGTCCATTTTTTTCATTACGTGTGCGAAATTATGTATTTTATACTTTTAGTGAGAAAAAATGACGCCACCAATTTGACGCCTGGCAATTCTATCAGGACCCACCACATGTTACGTAACTCATGTTTCTCAATATCAGAAGTGCATATTAATTAGTTTTTATTGAAAAAAGAATATGCCGGTCTATATTTCACACGAATTTCAAAATACATTCATAAAGTCATGTCTCCGCATTTTGTTACCAATTCTTACATAAAATTTCAAGAAATTAGAATATTTCAATATGGGCGTTTTTAAAAAAAATGACGCGTTGGAAAGAAAAAAATAGGCTAAATAAACAACTTTTTTTCATTATAAAAAGTCGTTGTTAAGTAACTTTAAATTAGATAAAATTTATATTTATTTCTTATATTTTCACGCGCACTATACGAAAAGCCAATAAAACTAAATGCAAACGAGATAAAAACCTTCAAAAGTTGTTTCAATTATTTTTATATTCAATTTAAATAGAAAATGGCCATGTCATCAGAATTTCAATTTAAGTATTGTAAATTTTAAAAACATATAATAAACATAGAATTATCTCTGAATCTGTTTCGAGTATAATTACTTCTTATATGCTTAAAAAGCTACAAACTTTGAAATGAATCAACATCTTCCATTTTAGTTTTCAAACCAAATGATCGAAAGGATCAGATTTTTTAAGATCATTCATGATCTTTAAAAAAATCTGTGATTGGTCTTTTGAAAATGTTTATTAAATATACATAAAGGCGTGTTGATTATATTCAAATAGTATTACATATTTCTATTGAAAGCCGGTTGTATTTAAATAAATCTCTGTTAATGGAATGATACTCGTTTGGAGTCAAATAGCTCCAAAATAAATGACTTTAAGTCCATTTTCAAATGCAATCTTGATTTCAAATCTTTAAAAACATAACGTCTAAGCAATGTGACAATCAAATTGAACGATTTAAAAAGACATCATAAAATAATTAACACTTGTGTTTAAATTTTAAATACTTTTGTATAATTGAAAATACTTTACCAAAAACAGGTAACATCACTACAGCTTTTCTTTAAAAAAGTATGCAAATTATTTTAATTTTTTATAGCTTCATAAAACATACCCATTTCTATTTGAAAACGGACCAAAACATAATTCAGTAGATGATGATCAATGAATATAACACCCTGTACGCCCATATTGACGAAATTTTCCAGTTTCTTTACAGCAACTTTTAATATTAGAAAATATCTAAATTTCTGTAGAGTTTGTGGCTTAATGTAGGTACCTTAACATTCTTAGTTGAGCCACCGGACTGGTCTTTAACATTTTTTTTTACATTAATTAATTTTCTTAGAACAATCTTAACTAGCAGATGTTGACACTTTGCGTCGATTTTTATTCAGATGAAAAATATAAAATACGTTTTAACATTGTTCACGTCAAAGCAAGTATCATGTGTAAATATCCATAAAAAGGAACAAACTGATTGTATGATAAAAACTAGTTATGGTAAAACTAGCAGATTACTAATTATTAAGCTTTTAAATTATTAAACTTTCAAATTAAAACAGCAAATAAATTATACAGATTATTATGACCGATCAATTTTGCATTCATAATGCTATACTGAAAACTACTATTGATGATAAATGCTTAAGAAATCCCGTTGTCGCTGGCACTCTGAGATGGGACTTGAACCTATGACCTTTCGCAAAGAGCAGTCGCCCGGATTCCGGAAGGTCATGGGTTCAAGTTCCATCTCAGAGTGACCTAGCACAAATTGGATTTTTAAACATTTTTCATTAAGAGGTGTTCTATGTCCTAAAGAGGAGCTATTAAAGTATAAGTCGCATTGTGACGTAGTAATTGCTTGTCTGCATTGAACTGTAAAAGTAAACATATTAAAAGCCATCCCTTTTATAACAAATATAAAAAAAAACCATTGTTAGGGTTTTGTGTTGAAAGTAAAGATAAAACCGATGCAAAGTACAACATCAAATATGGTCAAGTGATTAAAGAAAGTGGCGAAACAAAAATAAAATACTCAATGTCAAAAACTGATCAAACAAAACTATTAATAAGGTGAAGCACCATTCTCTACAACGATTTGGACGCCTCTATCTAAGTACATGTTTAAAACACCATCAGCTAAGCTATTCTGTTAAAAAAACAGCCTCGAACTTACCGTCTAACGCAACGCTGTCACATCATAAAGCTTCAATGAAATAAAACTTTTATTACCTTTTAAAGTTGGTTTTATATAATTTTATCTTTATGACGCGAGTGCTGAGTGTGACGACAAAGCTGATTCTATAATACAATGCATTAAACCACTGGGTATAAAATAAAATTTAATTTGTTTCCACTTTTATTAAAATTTTCGTTAGTTTTGTAACTAATGTAATGTAACAATTTCGATATTATTTAAATACGTCGATACTATGGATAGTCTACGTTATTCCAACACGAGTTCTTGCGATTACACTAAACAAGTTTTGCAAAAAAAAAACATTTATTTATAAAAGAATGGGCAATTATAAATTTTACTTTTGGCTAGTAGGAACAATGTTTTCCTAGGTCTACCAAATCAATCAATTGCTTAAATATGATGGTTAAAAATATAAATTCAACATTTTTAGTATGTGAAAAAGAAACTGGTTTCATTTGCCATTTAATAAATTGTAATTCGTTTGCATTTTCACAAAAATTGTTTAGTTTAATAATATGTAATAAGTAATAAAGTGGTGATAAATTAGAACCAGTTGTACACGAGACTACAGTTTAACATGCGGTGCTACAGGGCTACCAAAGTATTGTTTTCAGTGAAAATAATAAAAATAATATTTATTAACTAAAATATAATATGAATTACTTTAATCATATTTCAATGAGTAGTTCAGAGTCTAGGTACATACTATAACTTGTTCCACCATTAGAGATTTTGGCAACCCTTAGCATCAATTATTTTGTTGAGTTAAATAAATAAATAGATAATCGTATTGCTTATTCCGTGAATTTATTCTACAAGAAAATATGTTTAACTATAAAATGTACACAGGTAGCAGCTGTGCGCTAAATATAAATTCAAAAAACAACAGACTGCAGTATAATTAATCTTCATTATAATATATATATTATAATGAATAGTTCACAGTTAAAACATAATAACTCCGGGTAGATTTGTTTTGCTTTAAAGGATTTTCACAAAACTGCATACCTTGTATACTGCCTGCAATAACATAAACTTGGTGTATTTTATACAGCTATGCTAACTTTAACAGACTTTATATCTATTACAGATAAATCTCTATTCTATTGGTTTTAATTAATATTGTAAAAACTTAAAACAATATAAATTAACGATTATATTTACAAAAAAAAACTCTGTATTGTATGAACAAATCTATTGCAGCCGATATGGAATGTGTAGTTATAAAATTAAGCTATTGTTGTTTCATGAGGTCATATTTTTTAATTATACATGGTGCTTCTTTTCTTAAAAAATATGCGAGTAAATTTTTAATCATATATTAAAATTTTCATAGTAATTACGAAAAAATACGAAATGAAGAAATTATTCATTTTTATTATTTTAAACTTCATTGTTTTACACATCATCGAATAATTATTATTAATTTCCTAAAAAGAATGCCTTATGTTCGATTCGATTTTTTTTATGTTGTTTTACTTTTTATTTATATTGCGCAATGTTTTATCGAAATAATATGAGAGGCACAATTTCAGGCTTTCATTTGAATAAGTTTTATTTTTAAAATTTTCACTCCAAGGACGGAAAAGCCAATGTAAAATTGTAAAAAAATTCAATCAAAGTTAAAAAGGATAAATGTTTTAAGTATACAAAATCTGCATATCTGCAGAAATTTGGCAAAATAATGAATTATAAAATTTTAATATCAAATCGATGCAATCTTTAAAAGAATTCTTGATATTGCGAAAAGTATGTCCAATATAATGTTATACCACCACAATGTATGCTATTAAATTCATATTGATTAGTAATAAACAAAATATCAAAACATGTCGTGGTGCGAGCCCCATCCCAAATCCGCCATATTTTTATAAACGAAGAATGACAATTTTTTTTTTTTTATCAATACAATGATCTATATCTAATATAACGTATTTGTGATGGTCCATATTTGATTTTGAATTTGCAAACTCTGTCAGGAGCGCTACCCTGTTGTCAAATGAAACATATCCGAATATTAATACCTTAAAAACAGCATTTTCTGTAGAACTCGCCAATTTTAAATGAAAAGGTAAATTACTTAAAGTTATTTTACCGCTCATATTCTAAGTATACATATGATCACCTTTTCTGATATTATCAACTAAACAAGGACAGGTAACTAATATTAGAAATGTCAACTTTATTATAGGTAACAACCGAAAATATTCTAATAACACTTGTGGTAAGGATTGAAATTGAATGCGTTCTTTCCCATTGAAAAGAAAGATATAAAATAAAAATGTGCTCAAGGTACTTATGGTAGATAAATTAAAATTAATGTCCATAAATTCGAGGTCGTTTGATTTTTGAATTGCTGAAACGAATCTAATGTTACATTAATTATCGACATATTTATTACATATTATTTAAAACATTCGTAAATTTGGTGTCATAAAAGTTTTTTTTTTAATTAATAAATGGTTAAAATCAACGCGAACACAACCTCGAGTGAACGTTGCATTTATGTTAATGTGTATGTAATAATTATCAATTAATTGTATAATTATACTTATGTCAAATATTACTTATGGTACAAATTCTAACGAGCTACAGCATTTGAACATTTGTTTTAGTAACACATATAATATATAGGTAATATTGATATCTATTTCATTACCGACGATATAATGCTTGTACAGGAATAAAAAATAATCAATGCACTTAATAATTGTGTTCGTTAGCATAAATCAACGTCGGAAATAAAGAAGAAAACAGATTTCTATAAAAAAAAATACTACTTTTTATCAAGGGTGATAAAAAGTAGTATTTTTTTTTATCTGTCTACCGACATCGGTCATTAACCCTCGAGTTAAGTAGGGACTTAACTCGAGGGTTAATGACCGATGTCGGTAGACCTACCCACATTTTGTTTAGTTATAAAAATAATAAAAAAATACAATTCATTTTTTCTTATTGTAAATATTTTCTATTAACGATACTTAATCGCAAAATATAAAAGTGCACATTGATCAAAATTTTACACTGTAATTATTTTTCATAAGTCAACAATATTCAATTTATTGAATACGCCAGCAATGAAACAGATAATTCGCACAACATTTCAAGGTACTAAACAAGGAATTATTATAATAATATTTTCATATTTTTTGGCTTCAGTTAGACCATCTTAATCTGTAATAATAAAACTGTTAGTTCATACATTTATTTCAACATCAACAGCAAAATTCTCTCACGCTTAAACACACGATCAAAATGATGTATAAGAATCGTATCGGAAAAAGAAATAGTTGATTTATAAAAAACCGGAGACCCTGTGAAAAAAATCTATCGTCATTATATAAAATTATATTATAGATTTTTTCTTAAAGTCTTAAAGTACTATCTCTACACCTAAGCTAATTTACTTAGTGTAATTGAAGTTTCAGGTACATTGTCGGCGTTTTTTATCGTTACATTAAAACCTATTATCGATTTTTTAGTTAAATATATAGTTGTATTTACAATAACAGCTTTGAGAGTAACGCAATTTATTTCTTTTCGTGTTTTATTTTCAATATTTAGAGAATATTAATTTATATAGATTGATTTTTTATGTTAAATATAACGCCGTTTTTTTAACTTAATTATATGTATAAATTGTACCTAGGTGCAATAATTATGTAATTGAATAAAATTATAGATACCTAGAGATTGCTGTCGATTTTTACTAAAGTCCCTGTTACTAAGTATCAGGATTTGCAATTATATATCGTATTAAAATTATGTGCCAAGCACATTTGTCACAATTTTGTAGTATAACAGTTGTTGTAAGGCAGATTAAAAATATATCCTCGATTAATTTCGATAATTTTCTTCAAACGAAATTGCCGTTTTACAATATATAAAACTTGGAGAAATTCTCTAATAGCGAAATAGCAAGACTCAAAATGTTCTTTATCTGTTAAATTAGTAATGGTCATATTATTATCAAAGAGACTTTCAATTGAGAATGCGAGACAGACATTTTGATAATAACATAAGTTCAAATATTTACCAGTTTATAAATGATTACATACTACAAAACAGCAACACTGATTTGGAATTGCAGGAAGTTTATAGTTATACCTACTAGCTTAAGACTTTAACATTAAATAAATAAAAACTAACTAGTAAGTGCCGTCATAGCAGACAATACCTAAAACCATATGTCGATGGGTAAAAATTATAGAAAAAACTTAATTGCTTCAACATTCAATTTTTAACATCTAAAAAGAATCTTAAAAAGTATAGTTATGAGGTAGATATCAATTGTGATATGGAATAATGAACAACGAACTCGATTTTATAGTTTACACAAGAAACAGAATGGACAAACTAGTCTTTAAGACGAGATGAAAAAAAAAGCTATTTAAGGAGCGCCTTCATTATAACGCTAATAACGTTATAAAAACGATAACGCATTATTATTTTGCTTCTTACACAATACCAGTAATTCGTTGTAATTTTTTTTTTTATATTTTTAATATTTTTACACTTACATTTACTATCTACTTGTTCTCTTAGGTTTTTAAGTATCTAACGAATCAACTTTGCGGTATGTTAAAAGTGTAATAAATAACTGCTAATAAAAAATAACAGTAATATATATGAAAAAAAAAAAACTGTGCGTTCGACTATGGCTCATAATAATTTAATAAAAAAGTAAACAAACTTTTCTTCTCAAATATAACTTCTTATCGATACTGAACATCCTATCGGCATAAAAGAAGTATGTTTTAAAAAATGCGTAACGGTATTTGCGAGTCTTACTGATTTATATTATCTATACATATTTGGAATCATTACAATTTGCTGGTTCCAAATATGTATATTTGAAATATCGGAAAAGCCGCTTGAAGAAATGAGTCTCACTGCCGTTACTCATTTTATTATAAAAAATATATAACAGCTATGTCATTCTTAAAATTATTGTTTCATAAAAATAACTTATAGTTTTGTATATATTTTTATCAAATTATATTGAGCCAAATATTAAAGATATAATTTAAATATTGTGATGTATTTATATTAAAAGCTGGAATGTAAATTGTGAAGGTAACGCATAGCATCTGAGGCTTTCTAAAAAACTCAGCGAATTATAAAAAAAAGTATAATATAAGCATAAATTATGTCCTTTTCTCAACATGAATATATAATTTTCGTGTTATGTTAATATGCGATTTAAAGTAATCTTTATTAGGGGTGTTTGGATCTCTTTTGGTCTATATTTTGTACGATCATGTTGCACTAATTGTGTGTCTATTTGTAACTTCATTCACAGGGTGATTTATAATACGGAGGCACTGTATTTATAAACGTGTTCAGTTCAAATATACAATCCCGATTTAGAGACGTACCGTATTTTTAGGGAACGCGCCGCCCGCTACTTTATTGTCCCGACGCATAGCTCGAGGCCGCGTCACTACAAGTATCTAAAAACGCGCATAATTTTATTTACATCCTAACAGAGTAACACCACGAAATTGTTATATTACGCTTAACTATTGCATGTGCACCTCAAACAAGAGTAACTTGACGTGTGTGTGTAAAAATGAAATTATAAAAATAAAACGCAAAATGTTTCGGCCCGGCTTCGCCTTAAATAAACCCGTATAGTTCTGTTACAGTAGAAGAAAAATCAGCCTTAAGTCATATAAAATAAAGTCTATTAGGAACGAAACACGCCAAGCTACCCTCGTCGACTCCGAGCCTCGACTGCAGTATTTTTTTATTTCTGTACAAATCTCTTTATTAACATTCCCTGCCGTGGCGATGGGGCCGCCTACCCCTATTGTAGTTCTACAATAGTCCTGGGATGATTTCAACCGTTCGGTTGGAGCGTGGGTTGAATTTTGCTGTTGTCTAAATAAAACCCACTGGTATTCAACTCCGAGTTCATATTATCGTCCGGTAGTTTGGGGAACGAATTGTCTTGTACTTGGTCGTCGACGTCTGGTCGCCGGGATGTGTCTAGGAGGTCGTACGACACAGACCGGTCGTCCAGGACCGTCTCCAGGGTTGCGTCTGGCTCTTCGTAGCGAGATAAGTCAAAGGGAACGATGACTTTATTCAATTTCCCGTTGGGCGTTTTAGATTGCTGAAAGAAATATCGTTTAAAATATAACTTTAGATTTTATTATCTGTAAAAATATTTCTTTCGGCTGTTTGGGTGGATTGCCTGAACATCAATCAGAATACGCTCTGTAGCAGTGAAAAAGTAACTAGAGCCCGGATTGCGAAAGGTTGCGAACGTTTCGGATCCCATCGCAGGGTGCCAGGAACCAAGTGGTTTATTGTATGCATTTTTCATTAAGGATATAAATGTATATTTTTGCAATTACCTACATAATTGCGTAATACCTTACTCCTTCTAAGATTATTATAAGAACTCCGAAGAGAGAAATAAAATTGTTAACACAAAAATATGACATTCATTTTTGCTCTAGAACTACATTCAAATGGCAAATACCTTTTTGTCTTTGTGTCTTAAGTACATCTAAATAGAAAGAGTAGATATGTGGGAAAGATTACTTCTAGTCCAGAGTACAAAATAAGATAGACCATATTATCTAATTCTAAACACTCACAGGGTTTTCGGTGATGTGCACGTGGCCATTGAGCAGTGGTTCTCCAGCATCCTTTGACCCTCCACCATTAGCCAACCGTCCACCTACGCTCTGCGAAATACGACCTTACGATATAACTCTTAAAGTTCTTTCATTTATCCAAATCATTAGACCCGTAGTAATAAATATTATCAGTTGACATTTTGAGTTATGTTACCTTATAAATAAAGTTGGGAAACACAAACCGTTACTGATCAATAATTATTATTTGCAATATGGACAAGCATACTAAATTACTAGAACTGGTCACTTATAAGTAAGCTTTGGAAAGAAAAGGAAAACCAAAAAATTAATGCGTAAGAAAGGGAGAGAATGTCGAGATGACGGCTAATTGAGACATAAAGAATATAAAAACTATTGACTCTTTAAGGACATATTACTTATTAACGTGAGAGTTTATCATCTGCTTGCTTATAATGGCGTCTGTCTGTGAATCTGTTACTGAGTTAAATAAAATAAAATTATCGTTTTTCTTTACCTTCATTTCAGCAGCCTCTTCATCTTCTTCTTCGTTTGATGAAACATTCCTACGGCGTAGACTGTCAATAAATATGTGAAGGATCATTATAAAAACCAATTATACCGAAATCTTCGTCATAATCAGCACTTTTTCATCCCCACTGCAAGGGCGCAAGCCTTCCTTATGGATGGTTAAGAAAGATGAGCCATGATCCTCCACACTGGCCGAATGCGGATTGGAAGGTATAAACGACTTCAATTTCAGCCAGGAACAACAGCTCAACGTGCCACCAAAGCGCGAAATAGCTCGAGATAATAATTTTACCCATTCCTTGAACGATCCTTGCGAAATTTCTACAACGCCACCGAACTACTCAAGAATATACGTCTTTCATTCATTATTGCATTCGTTCCTTCATCCATCCATCCATTCTTTCGTTCATTCATTCACTCTAGTGAAGCTATTAATAGACTCGGAAATTATACTAAATCGCACAAATAAAGGATCTCTGTAAAGGCTGTAAAGCACTCACCGGAGCGGCGTGCCGGTTCCTTTCCTTCTACGCCACAGACAAACTGCCGCAACAGCCAATAGGCATGCGAGAAACACGCCCGCACCAATACCAAGCCCTGATGGTAAACACATACATATTTTAATATCACAGGAACTGGAAATACTCAAAACCAATATTTAGGTGATATCTGGTGAAAAGCGTATTTTATTTTGTTATAAAAGGAAAACTACTAATCCGATAAAAATTAAATGGGACCGCTTCGGTCCATTAATCAGTCGCATAAAAAAGAATTTTGAAAATCGTTCAACAATTAGAGTAAATATCAGTGAACACACATAAAAAAAACATACATTTCCGTCGAACACATAACCTCCTTTAAAATTTTAAAGTTGGCCTTAAATAACAGTGGATTACAAGACATACTATTCAATTTTAATTTTTAAATCTTGGATGTTAAAAGAATCACCGGGAACTAAATTATACGACTTATCTTTTATATTTCGCCTCTCAATTTACTTTTAATAGAGTATCAAAAATAAAAATCGGACGTTACTAGGGTTACCACCCGTACTTTATAATAAAGTATTTTACGTTATTTCAGACAATTGTACTCTATACTCTATAAGAAAAATAAAGTACACGAAAATACTTTATGTCATATGATTTGATTTGTTTGTGATTTTGAAGCTTAGTCGTAAGTATTTTTTCGTTAAACAAAATTTATCGATTCATGCTGAATAGATAAATAAAAAGAAAATGTATTTTTAAGTTTAGTAATAAAGAAAAATAAATAATACTTTATTTTGATTCAATTTACTTTGTTTTTGTACCTATAATAACTAATGTACTTTAATTGGGGAAAAAAAAAGGTGGCAACCCTAGACGTAACCTATCATGTTCATGTTTCAAATTACCTACGTAACGATGTCAAACTTGATTTCTAGTACTAACTTTTCTTTTAAATACTCATTATGATCAAAATTGTTTAGTTTTTCTTGAAAATTGTGTTTAATCAAACTCACCCACATACAGCGAGGAGCTTTCAGCGGGCCTCACTGGTATGTTGAATACCTCATTCCTCTTGCCTGTGAGCGTCGCGACCATCACATACGTAGGCAGGGAGGGATCTAGGTTCGTTAGCTGTGCGACAATATAAATATAAATTTAATATTAGAATAGAATGCAAAAATATTTATTTAACACCAACTTACAAATGAAATTAATAGTATGCTAATAAATCATTTAAAATTAGGTGCCTTAAATAATAAATTGAAGTAATAATATTTACAAGAATATTTAGACAAAATTTACAAAACAAATTTATAAAGCAATTAACTAATTCCTAAACTTTCAAATATTGCAAGTTTAGGAATTAGTTAATTTATATTATACTATAATTAAATATGATTGAAAAATCTGCGACGACAAATTAATAATTCCAATAAAGTTAGGGTAAATGACGATTTGCGGAGCATGTTAACATTAACAAAAAGATAGTTGTACGTCTTCATAATTGAACATTACCTCTACAGTGGTGCCGGGCACCTCTAGCGCGGGCCAGTGCTCCACGGAGCGCGTCAGGTTCTGCGAGTAGCGCAGCACGCGGCCCTCGCCCTCCCAGCGCACGCCCACGCCGCGCGGCGTCCACCACCACTCTACCCCCGATACTAAAACCATATTTCGTAACATATAACAAAAAATATAATCTAAAGCTCATAACCAGTGGTCGGAATTAGGTAGAGTTATTCATGTACTTACACTGATTTCATACAGCGAAAGAATAAAAGAGCAGAAAAAATCCCATGATTTTTTAAATAAAAAGTTATTTACTTTTACACAATTTAAACTACTGCACGCACGACGTTGCCAAACTTACATCAATGACATCGGATGTCCAAAGTTGCAAAATACCAATACGCGCGATGTTGCCACATTTGTAGGGAAGGTCCACATTCTATCAACATTTCGATGCAAGTACATAAATAACTCTACCTATTTCCAACCTCTGGTTATTACAGAGATTAAACTAAATTCGTAGGACACGAAAAGCCACGTTAAGTTTTTGGTCAAAACAGCATTTGGCGTCATTTGCATTGTGGAATTAATCTTGAACATCGACGCCTTACTTTCCTCCTCTGATCTGTTCCTGCTCATTTGTTACCCAAAAAGTGGAATGGAAAATAATACTTCTCATAGGAAATTCCTAAACTCTATCCAACTTAGAGTTAACCCTTTAGAATTGAAAATGTTACTTAATTTATTTAAAGTCAGCCCATCAAATCTTACCTGGTACTTGAGCTGGTATAGTTTTGACTGTGCTATACACGAGGGGATCGTAGCCTGATACCATTACGAACGTGTCTTTTGTTGTATCAATGTTGTTGATCTGAAAAAAAACCCGAATTTAATGTATTATGCCAATTATTAATATTACCCCGCTGAAACGCTGGTTCTCTTTGAACTATAAGTCATGAACTACAAGTTCGCGTGAACTTATAAGTCATTATTTTTGCTTTAAAATCAAATTTTGTATAATTTGTGTGTTTCCTCTTATGAGTAGCTCGGTGGCGTAGTGGATAAGCGCCGCGGCACGCGATCGTAGTCGTTAAGCAACTTTCGCAAGGGTCGGTCAGAGGATGGGTGACCAAAAAACTCCGTGCCTCGGAAGGCACGTTAAGCCGTTGGTCCCGGCTGCATTTGGAGTCGTTAATACCCTCCAATCCGCATTGGGCCAGCGTGGAAGGTCATGGCCCATCCTCCTTAACCATCCATAAGGAAGGCCTGAGCCCCTGCAGTGGGGACGTAAAAGGGCTGGTAATGATTGATGAAAACCATATTAAAGTCCGTTGCGTAGTTCAAAAGATCTCGGCGTACAGACAGCGGGAAGCTACTTTGCTTTATACTTAAAGTAATTTATTGCGTATCTTACCAAAACAGTGTTGGTGACTGTTTCTATGGTGTCCCAGAAATCAACGGGCACGTTCAGCTCAGAGCTGTACTGCACAATGTACTTGCCGGGTGGCGCGTTCCACGACACGCGCACGGTTGTTGAATTCACAAACTTCCACGCCAAATTATTAAAGAAATCTGGACCTATTAAGATATAAATATATGTTTATAATAAACCATAATTAATATCTAGACATTTATTATCTATACTTATATTTACAAAGAGGAAAGTTTTGATTGTTTTGAATTGCTCTGAGACTGCTAGACTGATTCCAAAAATTATTTCACCTACGGATAGCTACAAGCGGGGCGTGAAGAAGCACCTTGCAGGTCGGCAAGGTGAGGTTGGCTAGTGCAGTACCTACGTACTGTTTTCACTAGCTGTCCTCGCGTTTGGAGCGCAGTCATTTGCCCTCCATTTTATATAAAAAAAAAATAAAAAAAAAATACATCGTACCTACAGAGATGACTACGTTACAATTTTTCTGATACAGTTTTATAAGATTTTACACTCAATTATTGACGCGTCAGAGCTTCTTGGCCATGTTCAATTCTCCGGTCGAACTCGTCTCCCTATACACTCCTCACGTATACTACCTCTGTTTGTTCCCCCGCGTCGCAGGAAAAATTACACCCGAAACGCATTCTTTTATCGTTCCACCACAATATATATTATAAGAAACTGTCTAACATAGATTTCTTTAATTCATCTCTGAAGAATATTAAAAAAAGAACCAAAAAAAAAATTAAAGTAAAAAATAATAATAATTTTAAATAAATAGTTTTTTTTTTTATTATGTTACATTTTAGTTGGTCTCCTCTGATTTGATTTTTATTGTAATCACTCGCAATTTTTTATTTTTATTAGTGCATGAATATTTGTCTGATCACGTTTAAGCATGAAAAGGCTTTTTTTGTACTAACTTGGGCACTGTAGGTCTTTTTAATCATTACCGTTTGTGAAATTATTGTTATTTTACATGACTGTTTGATTCCAAAATAAATGAAAACAATAATATAAAATAATAATTTACTCGGGCGAAGCCAAAAAAAACAGCTAGTAAACTATAAAGATGAAAGATTATTATTAAACGTAAAACTACTGAAACCACAAACGTAAAGCAACATTTATCAGCAATTAGTAGCATAAATTATATACATCATTATACTCGTAAGAAAATTCACGTGGTCAGCGAGTACCTCGTGTATTCATTCATAAGTTTTGAGACGAAATAAAATTTGCGTAACCTTTTTAATGATTAACTTATATTTCTAAAATTTTCAGTTACCATAAAAGATAAAAATCATCAATAAAATATATTTTATTCAAAATGACCGCCCTTGTTTTGAATATAGGCCTTTAGACGATTTGCCCAGTAATCAATAGTGACGCGTTCTTTTCTAGCGGAATTCGCTTTGCTTCTCGATCAAGGGTTCGCTTCAGTGACTCCAAGTTTGGGTGGGACTTTCGGCAGGCCCTAAGCTCTAATGTAGTCCATAAAGAATTATCCAGCGGGTTGAAAAGTCGGGGCTAGAGGAGGACCACTCGTCCCCTACGATGAAGGCCGGCACATTGTCTCTTAACCAAGCTTGAGTGCTTTTTGCCTTAACATATCAGACAGGGGTTTCACCACAAGCTTTCAAATGTCACTCTGATAATTCTTGGCTTTCGCCATGACATCTTGTTGGCAGAAATGGAGCGGAGTGATACCTTCATACGAAATTCCCCACCATACCGTCACACTAGCCGGATGATAAGTGCGCGAGACATTCCGTGTAAAAGCTAGGACATCCTTGCTACTTTTAGCGTACATTTTATTGTTTTGTCGGTTGAACTTTTCATTCCTTTGCTAATCTTGCAGAGAACTTGTGTCTTTGTATCGCTGTATTGTGTAATATACGAAGTTACGGCTTACAGGAAAACTTTTCAGCTCGCGGAAAATCTGCATCGCTTTTTATCCCGCCTTGAATAGCGAAATGACAGTTGCACGTAATTACGTGCAACTGTCATTTTCGCAACACGTAATTTCGCTTTCGGAACAAAACAATTGTTTTGTTCCCTCCAACACGAGCATATATAAACAATACAAATAAACTAAAAGTTTGTCTCAAAACTTATGAACACACGAGGTATAAAAAATATGGAAGCAGATCGATATCAACGCACACACAACGCAAGAAGTGTAAAAAATAAATTATCATACTATAGCTAATATAATAAAAATTATTACCTATAATATCTCCCTATTGTTTAATTACGTGTGTTAGTGTTTGCTCGAGTTTGTATGACACGTAGAATGTATATGTACAAGACTTTGTAATTGTGTGTGTTTAAGTAATTAAGTAACAGTTATGCGACTATCTGAAGCAATGCGCTGTTTCAATATACGACCCATTCTTTCGGTTGGTCTTGGATCCTTCACCCTCCAAAATTACTGTCTCTCCTCATCTCATCTCTATTCTCTTCTAGAAGAGAGATTGAGCATGCTCAGCAGGCAGGTGACCCGGTGCCCCCAAGAAAAGGTGAGGATTACCTGGTTACAGCTTTGATCGATAAATATTAATATAGGCTGTATATACATACCGTCAAGAGCAGTGGTGATCAGAACGGGTATACTGGATGGTCCAGGCTTGTGTCCGGCTGACATTGCTGCCACCTCCACCAAATACTCTGTATCCGGTTCTAATCCGTCCACTATTATGGTATTATTTACGCTAGAAAAATATATATTTTTAATGCTATTACAACGAAAGACGAAAATAAAGTTTAATTTTGTTTTATTAAATAGGTATTAATATATATTTCTAATTATAATTACAAGAAAATTTTAAACAAGAAAAGGAAGAGTATGTTCGATACAAATATATATTTATTTTAAAAGAAATCAAATATCATCTAAATACCTTTCCAGACACTTCCGAGCTCCATCAAACGTTTTGACACACACATTAAAGGTGGTCTCGGCGCCTTCATGACGCCATCTAACGGTGAACTCTCGCTGTTTTATTTGTGAAACTCGGACATCAAATGGGATCATTGTCGTTTTGCTGTAATATCAATTTGATAATAATTACTAAAGAACTCCAATCTATGGATGAATGTCACAAACAAATACCTTTTTTATAACAAACAATATACAACAAGATAAAGATGACCCACTCGTTATAAAGTTAAATATATGAGTAATATGTTATTTTCGTTAAATATAATATAACATACCCATGTAACTTTATAAAACTATACGAATTACGAAATGAATAGCAAAATTTAATTTCAAATATAGAATAAAGGGACTTTAATTAAGCAACGGTGGATTGGAGACCCACAGAACCTCACCCGACGTCGTTCTGTTCACTGGCAAGTGTCCACGGAAGGAGCGTCAAGTTCTGCTGCAGCCAATCTTCACTCATTGACCCCAAAAGGCGCACTTCAATAGACTCTTTAGGAGATACTGGTAAAAACAAAGACTTTGAAGTAACTTTTTGATTATTTATATTTAAATTTAAGTTTCGAACTAAGACTATATTGACCTACCATGTAGAGTATAGTTAAACACCTCCCCTGGCAACGTAATGTTATGCTCCTCGGTTGAATTAACCGGTCTGTACTGTAATATCCATTGCGCCACTCCTTGTGTATTTTCAGCAAAATCTTTCCAGGACACTATGATTTTCTCTTCATTTTGTTTCAATATATGTACTGGCACTAAAAATTTGAAAATGAAATGAATACCAATATGTGTTTTATTAAGACGATAATGTCAAATATAAAACATAAAAAAAGAAAACTTAGCCAACCTCCTTGACCCTGACATTGCACGGCATCAGACATGTCTGTTGCCACATTTTTGCCTGGACCTCGAATGAAAGCACGAACCTGTTATTTAAAAAAAACTTTATAGTTGATATCCGTTAATTTTAAGCTTTATGAGTGTTAAGAAATAATACAAACCTGAAAAGAATAGGTAGTCAAAGGATCCGTGACTGGGATTATCTCTTCTGTGTTGTTATGAGGTGTTCCAGGCCAAACTAGAAACGAAAAAGTCAAGAATAAATTCAAAATTACTAAATGTCTTTATGTGGTACATTTATCTCACCAATCTAAAAAGGCCAGGCCAGGCCTATTAATTCACTAGTTTTAAGATATAGGCTTGAATATGGTAGTTCCAATTCCTCGGGTATTATCTGCTTTTGTAATATTAGTGTCCTGACTTGTAAAGCTATTAGTATATATATTTTATAATTAGAAAATGTAGAGCTGTAGATCAAAGTAATATGCCTGTCAAAAAAATGTATCAGATCTCGTACAGCCAAGATTCTAACTCTACAAGTCCTTACTTCACAAACACTACACTACACCTTATTCAAAACATGTGACTCAGCCGTTCGCTACCGTCAAATGGGCATAAAAGGTGAAAAATTTATTCATCTTTCATTACTTTTCTGTTATACCATAGTTCTTTCTTGTAGTAATCCAAAATCAAATTATGAGAATCAAAAATAAAAATAGAAGCATTTTGAGAAAAAAGTGTTAGTGCTGCCCTTTCTTCGTTTGTCTTTTGGCTCAGCTTTGGCGTACCTCTACCGTGGCCCTAGATTATTAACATGAAAAGTTTTCCCCTACAACTATTTTCTCAGCTTGGTTTGACCTATGTCACCGTAATAGCACAACTTGTATATACTGACCTGGCAGCGTGGTCTGCACGGTGTATGCCATGACATCAGCGGTGGGTTGCGCCCACCGCAGCAGTACGGCGTACCCCAGCGGCCAGCAGCGGATGGTGGGCGGCGCGGCAGTATGCTCGCCCGTCACGCTCAATACTGCCCACGATGACTGCATCGATATATTGTTGCTGGCGAAACACTGGTAGATACCTGGTGAACAAATTCTTGTTGAAAACATCGGCATCACTTTATATCTCCTGCATATAACAGCAGCAACAACAATTGCATCACTGTTTGAAGAACTTGTAGTTTGTACATAACAAATAAAATACGATATACCTGCGTCAGCTGAAGTCACTCCGCCTACTACCATCTGATAGCGGTTTCCAGATTGCGATGACCGCATGTTGAACTGAAATCGATCATAAGCAACTACTGATCAATCAAAAGCTTTTCTACATTTCTTTAACTAATGAAACGTTATGCTAAAATAATAACTTTATTCGATAATGTGATGTAATTTTCGTAATGATTGAAATTTGTTATTGTTGAAAATATGTTACAAAAACACTTCAAATTTTTGCAATAAATTTTAAACTCTACTCGCAATACTTTTAGGTTTAAAATGATACTTTCGTATTGTACCTACCCTTCCACCCATATGGATAAGTTTCCCATCCTTATACCAAGTGATAGTGGGTGCAGGTTTTCCAGAAGCTGAACAGTTGAAGCGCACCGTACCAGCTCGAATTACCTCCTTAGATACTGGTGGAACAGTAATCACCACAGGTTCTGATATCGTCACACTAAATACCTGTAAAATTAAAGTTTTTAATACTGCTGTAATAAAAGACCGCTGATACCTTAAAATTCAAGATCCAGATAACTCAAGCTGAGTCTTTACCCGTATTTTTAGATTCAAGGTCCTGCGATTGCAAACTGATTAAGGAGTTTTTCGGGCAGCTCCAGCTTCTAAACATAATATAATCTACGTTTCAACGACAACATCCCGACACGAAGAGACCTTTGCATAATTAATAAGATTCTGTGAACGGTACATTATAAGAGCCATGTAGCCTCAGGTATGCTAACGGTGACTTAATGGATACCCAGACAGGGGATTTAAAAAATGTTTTTATTTTAAAAAATACACATGTTAACTGGATTGACAAATTCCCTAAAATGTTTAGACATACCTTAATCAAATGGCTGTAGTCATCTATGGTGCACCTGTAGACTCCTTCGAGATCAAACTCTAGACTGGTCAACACTAGAACTTCATCGACGGACTCTAGAATCGCTGTTCTACTTCCCGGAGACGTGAACTCCCAAGTTATCTATCCAAAACCAAATATTGTCTTAAGAAATTATATCAAAACATTTGTTTTATTGGTCGTTATATAGTAGTAGTAACTTTGAGTAATAAGTTTAATTCTCTAGCAGTACTATTAATAAACAAGGTATAGCGTCAGAGTAAATTTACGCTAAAATTGTGTTAGTATTAATCTAAATTCATACTATATAGAACATAAGCAAAGCTACTACCCTCTAAGAGTAAATATTAATCCCGTTGAAGCTCATACTTAGTAAACCTTTGCTAAGTCTGTGTATAATATTATTATTTTGACTAGTACTAAGTAGATTATTTCATCGTAGATAGGATAGTCTCATCGTAAATTTACTCCTACTCTAAAAAACCTTGTTTATAAATAACTCTGTAACAGTAGATGTAAAATATAAAGCTTGTGTTTATTAAATCGACAGTATCACTCAGATTTATTAAAGTAGACGTGATGTAAAAATATGAAAATATTTTGTCAATTAGAAATAAGAAGAAAAAATATTTTCACTCACTTTAGGCCTGGGCCACCCGACTACAGGGCATAACAGCTGGACCCTCGAGAACCTGGGCGCCAAAATGTTGACCTCGTCCTGTAACGGCAGGATCCCTGGTTCCGAATCCACAGGATCCACCACTTTTAGCCACGCGGCACGACTCGATCTCGTCTTATTCAGGTACTTGTTTGTAACTTTACATCTGTTGAGATAGGTAGATTCTAAGTAAATATATATATACCAAACATAAGTAACATTATTTTATTTCAGTATTATATATATATTAAATATTATTTAAATTGTGCTACATTGTAGCAGTAAGCTCTAATAAATATTTCATGCCCCAAAAGCCCATCAGGTAGACCAGTCGTTGAGATGGGCTCATAGAAGAGAGTAAAGTATTGTAGCTACCTTAAAAATATTACTTATGTTATAATACTAATTCTCCAAGATTCTTATGAATAACAAACTTGAGTTTCTATTAACATTTTTACCAAAAAACAATATCTAAGTAAACAACTTTACTATGTCACGCGCCTGTTATGTTGCTGACGATTCTGGTAATGCCACTTAGTTGACGTTACCACGATAAACAAATATATAAATTTCACTATTATTATCTTCTCTCTTAATTTAATCTGCTAAAGTTTAAACTGTTCAGCATAAACAGTATGCATGTTACTTTGGTAGTCATTAAACTAGGCGTTAACTAAGTATGTTTACAAATTAGGTGCTACTATACAATTCATGTTATAAGGGTTCCGGGTTACATCGTTGGCCGGTCTATATAATAAGGTCTAAATAACATATAATATAACAAAAGTTGTTAGGTGTAGATATAAGTTGTTAGATCGCTCAATATTTCTCTTTAGCTTGCATAAGAGTTTTAACTTTATTTGTTTGTAGAGTAATCTTTGGAAATACTGATCTGGGGCCTAATTGTCTAACTTTAAAATCTTTCGGTTTGAAAGATGTTGTATAACCACTGCTTGTTTTTGAAGACAGTTGAAAAAAAGTATTTGTATTATGCAGCAATGGTTGTGCAACACCTTTCAAACTGAAAGCGATTGCAATAGATTTAAAATTAGACAATCAGGGGGCGGATCATGGAAATTCTTTCACCTACGTGAAGTTACATCATTCACGGGTGACATAGGCTATAATTTATGCGAGTGAATTCGCGGGAAGACAGCTAGTGTTAGATAATTTATATTCACCACTTATCACACACATTTACCATAATAAACAATTTTAGCCGGAATAAACGGTTTATACGGTTTTTTGTGCCTGGAGCTCGAGATAATAATTTTTTTAGTCAGCCGTCCTATGACTTTGCAAAAGTTGCTTAACTCACGCGGCACAGGGCGAATGCGCTAACTATCAAGCTCCCGATATTTTTATTTAATTAATTACTTGTCTGATTGCTGTCACTTTGGTCAATTAAATGTTAATGTTAATTCTATTGGATTATATTTAAGTGGAAGAAATGGTATTATTCAAAATCTTCTCCGAATTCAATATAACCAGTATATGTATCGAATATGTTGTATATTAAGACTTATTTAATGAAAACAATAAAAAAATATTGAAGGGGGAATTCATCCATAACATTATAACGGGTTTATGGATAAGCTCAAATAATAATAACTACTAAATTATTATTGTGTCTAGAAGTATATTCTGCGAAATGGGTATAAAGTTCGCGGAATGGAAAATTAATTGTCAGAAACATTCCAAGAAATTATTTATTTTCAATATCTTCATTGACGTTTGTTAGATCCAACAATTAATTTATTAATATCCAAGAATGGTTCTATCCAAAATATTAAATATTAACACTTTATTAAATTTTGAGAAGGCTTTTCCGTGTACGATCAAAAATTACGCAGAAGTTGCAGTTCTATGACAGGGCTATGACTTGTACTTATAAAAGTAGAAACAAACTTTATGGATTTATTATTATAATTAATTCAAATTATTACTTACATTATAACCACAATCACACCTTCATTGTTTACGTGAAGAATGATTTCAAAGTATTGAAAAGGTGTGTCCATCAGCAAAATCAAATTTCATTAAAGAGAAAATAAAGAATTCCAATAACAAAATCAATAGAACATGGAATGTAATAAACCGTGAAAATGTTAAGAAGCAAATACGTGATTATAATAATACGACCATCAAATATCATATTAAAATTGCTACTATATTTGATGAGTATTATAGAAACAAACCAATTTTAAGAACATTTGGTTTAAAGTCTTCAACAACTTTTGCAGAGGCTCTTTTAGAAAAATATTTGCCTAAGCCAGTTTAAATTAAAATATATTATTTTTTTTAAATATTATTAAAACTTTCAAACATCTCGAAAATGAAAAACATGCAATTTGTGGGGCATATCTCTCAATATTATCAAAATATGGTTATTTTTATAGACCCTTACTTGGCTGATATATTTAACCGTTGTGTAGATAAAGGAAAATTTCCAAATGTTATTAAGCTTAGTAAAGTTATACCTCTTTTCAAATCCGGTAATAGAGAAGACCCTAGTAATTATTGACCTATATCAATATCGCCGATGTTAAGTAAAATTTTCGAAAAAGTAATTCTTGAACAGTTATTTTCATACTTTAACTTAAATAAATAATTACACTCTAAACAATTACACACTAATCACAACAGGTCGCTTTACTACTGATGCTGGTGTAGCACTTCTTAAACATATATTCAAGGCTTACGAGGGGTCACAGAATGCTCTTGGAGTATTTTGTGACTTAGCCAAGGCATTTGATTGTGTTTAGCATCGAATACTGGTACTGAAGCTAAACTGCTATGGTATCGAAGGCACTGCCCCTCAACTAATTCTGTAGTGGGGTATAGCTGCAGTTAGAGATTCTGTATTTAATTCACCAAAAAAGAGCAGTAAGAGCTATTTATTAATTTGGTTCAATAACATCACCTAGAGATAAATTTAAAAAAATTGGGAACTGACAGTGGCCTCCCAATTCATATAAAAGTATATACTTTATGTTAGAAACAATATTAATAATTACGTTAAACATAGTCATGTACACAATTTTAATACTAGAAACAAAGAAAAACTTGTTTTGCCGTCATGCAGGCTAAAGAAGGTTCTATCGTCATTTATGGGTCAAGGTATAAATTAAGGATTCATATTAAAATTGACTACTTAGTAAAGGATATTATATTGTGAATGAATATTTAAACGATAAAACTGCTTGGTGTTATAGATGGCTTTAGGTTATATGGCTTGGTGTTATATATCATCCAGATTATTTTAGTTTATAATTTTATATAACATTTATTTGATATGAATAGAAAATGACATCATATTTTAATGAAGTCATTATTCAATCTTGACGACTCTGTATGAAATAAAACAGGGAGAAAAAGCAGCCTTTGCCGAGTTTCTTGTCGGTTCTTCTCGGTACAAGATAATAGACTTACGAACCGATGGCATAGAGTTTCGACTTTCACAAGTGCTTTGTAACAGCCAAGAATGAATAAATTATTTAGATTTGATTTTGGTAGCATCGTCGTTCTGTATCTTCATAACGTAACGGCTTGATATACTACACTTAATTGTGCGCTATATGTAATATATTATTAATAGAGTTCTATAATTACAACATTTAATAATGTAGAAAAAATAAGTAGGACGTTTTGTAGGTAAATTCTGCGATTACGCTGTCGTAGAAAAATATACCGTAAAAAATAATTCTGGCAGTCTTGTTGTTGGGTAGCAGCTCCCATAGACAGGTAATCGTGGGCACTGAATCAATACACTTGGTTTACAATATTTATTTTCGTAGAACAACCGCTTTATCAGATATTCTTTTTTATCTTTTTTTTTTATTCAAACCAAAACATAACCTTTTTTATACATAAATTAATAATTTGGTATATTTGGATACAAATGAGCACTTAAAGTATTGTTAAACTAGGAATATTCTTATTTTTACACATATATATTAGAAATATGTACTTTTTATACTAGTGGTGTGACTCCATAACTCTCTAGCCATGACTCTAGCTATAGGATACGATATCCAACCGATTTTATGGCTATATTTTGTTTTATTTTACTACATTCATATATTTTTGGTGAATAACTAAGTTGGTAACACTGCTATCAAATTCATAATCATCATTCTTTATACATATCAATGTACCTAAAATTAAACGAAATATTGCCATTACATCGTTAAAATGTTGTATGCTACAGTTAGAGTCATGGTTCAAGAGTTAGCGATCGCATACCGGAGGTACGTTTTTTCTACACCCAAATGTCACTTTTATCGAGTGCACCCATACGATATCTCACTCTCGACCCGAAAACGTTTTAACTACACCCAAATGTCACTTTTCTCGAGTACGAGCATACGATATCTCACTTTCGACCCGAAAAAAGTTACGTTTAGTGTATACAAAGGGTTTCTCGAGTTTTTCATGCTAAACGTACTATTATGTGATACATTTTTAAACTTTTGACAAGCTTTAATTAAATTGGCATGTTAGTATGAGATTAATCTGGCAAGCTATATTTGACTCACTTTCCGGTATCTGATTAAGCTGAAATTTTGCATATACATGTAACTTGGATGAAAATGTAATATTAATATGGAATGGAGCTAATCTAATGATAAGTCTGGAATGTAACCATGGCGACCTCTGTCTAAATGCTACGCCATTAATGACTTGTTTTTTTTTCTAGACAATGACTTTGGTCCGAGATAATTCAGGATCTTATGATGGAACTGCTAGATGGATTTTTGTAATTAAATAACGCAATTATGTCTTGTATCTCTTCATTTATCTAAACAAAAGCGATGGTAAGCTTATTTACCAACAAAATTTTTATTTGGATTATTCTACTCGATATTTGCCAAAATATGGGCTGTATATTTTGGTAATAAACATTGAGAGGTAAACAACTTCATACTTACTTATAAACACCGGCATCCTCTTTTCTAACCTCAGTAAAAACTAGTTGTGTATTCAGGAATATATATCTGTAAAAAAATAGATTTAATTGAATTACTTTGAAAAACGACTCTGTCAAAGTGTAGGTACTAAGCTGGCATTAGCAAACGTTCACTAACTCTTCCAAATGAGTCACTCCTCAAAAAGTGACTTATGTTATTCTTTAGCTTTCTCATCATCATCATCATCATCTGCCCTTTTACGTCCTCAGTGCAGGAGTTCAGGCTTTTCTTTGGAAGGTTAAGAAGGATGGACCACAACTATTCATGCCGACCCAATGCGGTTTGAAGGTTATTAACGAGTGCAAATGCAGCTGGGACCAAAAGCTTAACGTGTCTTCTGAAGCACTGAGTAGCTCGATATAATAATTTTTTGGTCACCCATCCCGTGACCGACCCTTGTGAAAGTTGCTTAGCATTGACGATCGCAAGCACTTATCCGATTTTACGGCGATTTTGTATGGAACAACGATCTCTATTCTAATTATTATATTTAATCAATTTCGCATTCACGATGCTATTCTGAAAAATATTCTTAATGAGAAACGTTGAGAAAAGTAACAAGTACTTGATACGATTTTGTCCTGTTAGGACCTGGATAGCTCAGCGATAAGAGCAGTCGCCTGGATTACGTAAGGTCGTGAGTTTGCATCCCATATCATAGTTCCAGGGACTTAGTGGATCTTTTGAGCATTTTATATGTAACATCTCTATTCTATTTTAAAAACTAATCGAATCATATGTTGCACCGTGTTAAATAGTGTGTACGCGTAAGAATGTAAGTTATATATTTTTGTCCTTCTCAAAAATTTATACCATCTCCAACCAACTTTCATTGAAATCACTACAACATTTTAAGTGCAAAATTTTAACACATACAGTTATATTCACGTTTTTAATATTACTAGTCTTCCGCCAGCGGCTTCGCCCGCTTGTCAGAAAATTCTGTAAAAACTTTCATCCCCTAATTTACCCTCTTAGGGGTCGAATTTCGTAAAATCCCATCTTAGTGAGCACCTACGTCCTAAAACGAACCCGCATGCAAAATTTGAAAGTATTAAACTTACTTCTGATTAAAAATATTGAGAACAATTACACATACCCACATAATGTTGATTTAAAGCCGCTTATGACGTATTATTGCTCAGTAAAATCATCCACGTCCATCTATATGCCAATAGCTACTTACATCAATGTAGTTTTACCCACAGTATATATGGAAATATCTTTATTTTCTTACTCCTATTGGTTAAATGTGACTTGCACGCTACGTGCGTGCCTAAGTGGAAACGAAAAGGCTTTGACAAGCTAAAATATTAGTGTGCAAAAATAAATCTTTCGTCTAGACCTCTAAAAATACTAGTTAAAAAAAATATTCCACGCCGATTTCGAGGCAAAAAACAATAAACGTCTCAGCTACCCTGTCAAACTTGAAAATAGACTGAGACAGACTTTTCACTATATAATGGCGCTAACATAAATAAATATTAGATGACACACATTGCTCAGACCTAGAACTAAGTACCTAAAGCCTTTGTATAATGGAAGTTTAAAATATCGAAAAAAATATCTAGAGTTCTAGACTAAGGGCATACAGAAATTTGTTTTCTACTACAATAAACCGTGCGCGTTCGAACCCGGGACCTCGGAGATGACGCCGCCTTTTAACCGACGTCCCAGTCTCTTGGCAACGTAGGCAATTATTTCCAGCATTACCGTAAAGACGTGTCGCTCACAGATTTCATTGTAAGATGATTTCTTAAGCCTTAGAGGATCATCTAACTAATGAATGGTTGTAATGATTCTTTAAAATCTAAGGAATGGTAATCACATAGAACGTGAAATATAAGCTAAGTAGTGAACTTTTAATGATCTATGTCATTACATAGACCTTTAAAAATTACACTACGCTTTGATAAATAGATATAGGAAAGAGAAAAAAAGATTTACCTTTCAGTTTTCGATAAGCTTTCCCCGTTGCGAAGCCAGGAGACAGTGGCGGGAGGAGATGATGGTATTTCACAAGTCAGAACATGAGGTGTTCCCGCCGAAACTGTACTATTCTCTGGATGTCTCGTAAACTGGTCGTGCATAGCTGAAACAATGTATGGCATTTAAGAAATCTCACTTATAATCCCAAGAATTTTAAAATCATGTGATATATTACTACTATATGTTACAACTAGAAACAAACAGAGTTAGAAACTTTATATCTTTATAATATTGATATAAATGTAAGATTTATAAACGATCCAATCTAGAATTGGTTAGATAATCTATCAATTCATGTGGGCATATATATTGTGGCACTGTATATATTGACACCAGCTTCAGTGACGTGTCAATAAGTACAATCAATCACTGGAAATATTATAGAGGCATCATCCCTAGCTAGAAACCAAGGGTTGACTAAATGAAATTTAATATTGAGAGTTAAAACAGGAATCAAAGTTTGAAATCGAGATTATTGACTATTACCTTTATTTTACTAACGATCATTTTATAGATAAAAACAAAAGAATTGTCTAATCTGTTTGATAGTGAAATTTTTACAGACTGAATTACTTTCGTTTTATAATACCAATATATAAAAATTACCAACCTGTAAAAAAAGTACCTGTTACCCAAACCGTCACGGATTAATCACTGAGGAGACAATAAGGAAAAACCAGAATTAAAGCATAAAAATGTGTTCATCTAATGTAACAAAAGATAAACTACAAAAATCAATAATAAACTCTAAACAAAACGTATGAAGAAAATAATTCGCGTTGTGACAACCCTAAATATAAATTAGGCATCATTGTTGATGGATGGTCCAGCGCTTGAGCCTCCAATTCTGCTGGAAATAGATCTCCAAAAAGATATATGACATGATTCTACGGTAATACAAATTCCACAGTACTGCAAATTCTGCGATGAGAAATATTGTCGTATTTATATTGTTTTAAAGTTGTTCTTAAGGCTTGCTTGTTATAGTCGGGTCACACACACTAAAGGAATCTGCTGACATATAACATCGTTGCACACGGTCCCATTGTTGGAGTGACCGAAATATTACCAAAACTGCTGATGCAGCGGCACGTGGAGCAACAACGGACGTGGAGGCAATCCGAGTAATAGAGTTCACTTTTAGATCAACCATCGATCGGGTCACATAGTTAGAGTAGTTATTAAGAAATATAATGTAATTTTATTTCATTAAATTAGTATTAAGTAAATTTTGGTTTTCTTTGAAATCTCCGGCTGCAGCTTCTATAATTTGCTTACATGTGTTCTTATTTTGATTCCTCTAAGAACTAGAATATTTATAGCAATTTACGATTTAGCCATCTTTTTATCGCTACGAACTCTTATCATATTTTATTTTAAATTTATTGATTTGTTTATTTATTTAATTAAGGTATCCGCTGAAAATCAGCGCCGTAGCTTAAACACTGCGGCATATTGCTGAGCGGAGACCTTTTTAGTACCTAATTTTGAATTTTTCTATTATCAATGTTATATACTTGTAATGTGGTGCTAAATAAACAATTTTCTATTCTATTCTATTCTATTACCAGCAACTTCGCCATCGTCATCAAAAAGTAAATAAATGTGTTTTTTTTCTTGCAGTAAAAAGTAGCCTATACTCTTTACTCTCCATCGTGTGTCGTATCGTCAAAGAAGGAACAAACAGACACAATTTCCCAAATGGGAAATCTGAACTAATATAAATTATATTAGTACAGATTATTATGGAAATACAGACACGAATAACACAGACATTCACCAAGACCTTATCCTCATATTCCTTATTAAGACTGAAGACGTCACAACCCTTTCTCCATATCCGAATTCATTATCACCCGATATCATTATCACCAGCCTATTAATATCCAGCGGGGTCTCAGGTTTCAAACTTTGCATTTTTGTTTGCAAGGGTCGTATCTATGAAAATACTGATATGATCATTAAAAAAACATATTACCTACAGAAATTTACATCATACGCGGGTGACATAGGCTGTAACGGTTTGCCCTACCACCGTTTATTTCATCCTAGGTTTCCGCATGCAAACTTTTTGTCTTTGATCTTCAACATCATTTCTTTTTATTATACACTTTTCGTAATTTGAAATTTGGACTAATCCAATATGCTCTTTATGAATGTCAGTTCGTAAATATTTTCGTTGGCGTAGCGGATAAGCGCTGCGGCCCGTGATCGTTGTTGTTAAGCAACTTTCGCAAGGGTCGGTCATGAGATGGGTGACCAAAAAATTATTATCTCGAGCTACTTCGTGCGTCAGAAGGCACGTTAAGCCGTTGGTCCCGGCTGCATTTGCAGTCGTTAATACCCTCCAATCCGCATTGGGCCAGCGAGGGGGGTCATGACCCATCCTCCTTAACCATCCATAAGGAAGGCCTGAGCCCCTGCAGTGGGGACGTAAAGGACTGATGATGATGATGACCGTAAATAAATCAAGCTCTCAAGCTCAGCCTTTCATTCATTTGCCTAAGCATCGAACCCGTCACAAGGCTATCATTTACGCGAACTAAGCCGCGGACAAACATCTAGTTCATTTATATTTCAATCTAAAATGATACAGTTTACTAATTAGCAACATAACCGTATGAAACAAAAAATCCCCAAAATAACAATTATAATAATTGAAAATTATTTGTAGCAGATATAAAAGAAATGTTTTAAATAAATTAACTTTTCACGTCGCGCCATGTCGAGGCAGAGTCATTCCTTTAAAATAACCATAAAATGAGCACAGGATATTACGTATTTTCTGGAAAGTAATTTTAAAGAGAAGTAATTTGCTAAATGGCTTTTATATTGGTCTTTATGAAGCTGACGTTCTAATTAAATATTACCTTGAGAAGCAGCCTGCCAACATGACATAATGAGTGATAAATCTGTAGCATTTGCCAAGAATGACTTTGATAATTTCATCAGAAATATAGAGAACCGAAACATATAGGGGAACGGACCACAGAACGCGAGCTCAGTGCAGATATTAGGTGTTAGACGGCTTGTACACCAAAAATTATTAACTTTAAATAACCTCGCACAAAAAAAATAATAACTTCTAAATACTATAAAAAATATAAATAATAAATAAAAAATGAGTAGCTCGGTGGCGTAGTGGATAAGCGCCGCGGCCCGCGATCGTAATCGTTAAGCAACTTTCGCAAGGGTCGGTCACGGGATGGGTGACCTTAAATTATTATCTCGAGCTACTCCGTGCTTCGGAAGGCACGTTAAGCCGTTGGTCCCGGCTGCATTTGCAGTCGTTAATACCCTCCAATCCGCATTGGGCCAGCGTGGAGGGTCATGGCCCATCCTCCTTAACCATCCATAAGGAAAGCCTGAGCCCCTGCAGTGGGGACATAAAAGGGCTGGTGATGATGACTATAAAAAATATAAATATACGAGATACTAAAGTTAAGTTACTTTCTCAAGGGCCGGTCATAGGATGGGTGACTGGTGGGTTATACCACTTTCTCTTTATTCCATTCACAGGGAAGACCTATGCCCCAAGCAGTGGAGGCATCAATAGGCTGGTGACGATGAGTATCTGACGAGCAGTACCTCATCGTCTGTCCTTATCTATTTCATTGAATTCGTCTCGTTTTCGCCTTTTTTCTTGCAACAGATACTTATCACATTACTATACAAAGAAACTCTGGGACATGCTCCTCACCAAGGAGTATAAGAAAATCACTTTCTTTCATCTTTGATGCTGTTGCGCAGACGATAGAATTCTTAATAAATACGACCGTTTATTCTTCTGACAAACGTCTAATAAAAAAAAAAGAATAAAATATTAGCACACAATGCTAACTTATATCAACACGAATTGTACAGATTCAGTAAAAAGATCACGTTCCGAGAAATAAATAGATACTAGGAAAACAAACTTCAGATTCTTTCTTTTAATATACATAACCGACGTATTTCTTCTGTTTCTTTTTTAAAAGAGTTATCACTCGGCTAGGGAAGTGCCCCGGGCATGATTTTATCCGATAGCTATCCTTGACAACCACCGTCAAACTTCTATCAATAAACACAAAAACTTCACATCTAAAGCTATTAAATGAATAACTACATCCAGTTGTGAAAATCACAGATAAATCTATGTTATTTTTTTCTTTTATTTCAGGTAGACGCGGCTAGGTATTTTATTTTGTAATAATCCTATTAATAAAATAGAAAATTATTTATTGTTAACATTGCACATTAGTTACATATACAATTTAAAATAGTTTTACGAAATGATGTAACAATTGGCGGCCTTCTCGCTTTAAGCGACTCTCCAGGCAACCATGGGATGGAGGGAAAGATAACAATTAATGAAGACGTGGTTGTAAATGTTATCAATAGGTAACATTTGAAAGAAAATATTTTATAAAAATCTTTAATTACAAATAGACAACAAAATATGTAATAAATACATACATATATCGCACACCTACTTCTAAACTAAGACAACTCAAAAAACTAATTTGGAGGTTTGACAATACATTTGTTTACGTGGCAGGAGCGCGACCACTATTGATTCAACAAAAGAAAACTAAAGTTATCTAGCGGCTCATCCCCGAAGCTTTATTGAATCTGTTATGTTGGATAGATGCGTATGATCACCAAGTATTTGAATATTGCACTAAGTCAAAACTCGCTCAAATTTTTGAGTTGTCTCAGTTTAGATCTAGGTGTGCAATATATAAATATACACAATACGTAAATATACATACATATGTCTACTAAATTACACTTAAATATTATGTAATACCAGGAATATTGGTAGTCGGTAAGTAGTAGCAAGATATTTCATTGTTTTCATTGCCTTATAGAAACTGAAAGAGAATTCCAGAGACAAGCAACTTGTACAGTGAAATAAGAATCGTAAAAAGAAGCCGTTTCCTTTGTCCGCGTATCATCAGACTCTCATGAACCGTGATGTCACACAGTTGAAATTTTCATTGATGATCTGTTGATTCTATAACATAAAATACTAAAAAAACACAATAAAATAAATACTTAAGGCTGCCTTCCATATGACAACCAAGATTACTAAATTATAGATTGATTCGGAATCCTTCATGCGCGAGTAAGACTCACACTTGACTGGTTTTTGTGCTTTCTTTCTATTGCTAGATTCAATGGATTTATAAGAAAAATATAAGATAACCCTTTGACAATACGTGTTTAAAGATATAGAGTTAGTGGATCCATACAGTTGCGCAACGTCCTTACGCCTACATGCATCGAAGAGTAATGCATGCAGATAGAACCCTGCGCTCCGTTTTATAGGCGAGCGAGTAAGCCTCCACGCATTACTGATTACTTTCTAAGGCGATAATTACAGTACAAATATACGAGTAAATTTCATTTTACCTCGATCCTCAGTGATTAAATTTCTTCAAGAATTCTTACTAAGAGCTGTGAAATGTGATTTAAAATTGTATCGGGTTGGCACAAAAGTAATGAGACACTTGGTTTAAGTTTTTACTTTTTTATTATTATTACAATAAAAAAAGTTTAGTCAATGATGTAATTACCATTAGTATCTAAGACTTCTTGCCGATGATCCGGCAAAGTTTGGATGCCTTTTGCCCAGAACTCTGATGGCTGTGCCTCGAAAAAGTTGTTCAACTCCGCCTCTACGTCAGAGAAATCATTAAATTGTTTACCCCGCAAATGCTGTTTCAGGGCTCTAAACAAATGATAGTCTGATGGGGCAAGGTCTGGGGAATAAGGTGGGTGGAGTATCGTCTCCCAGCCCAAGTTCTCCAAGTGCCGGCGAACCATAGATGCGACGTGAGGTCGAGCGTTATCGTGCAGTAAAACTACATTGGGTTGGTTGAATATTGTACAAGCTGGGTTGAATATTTGTCAGCGTTTATAGTTTCATTGTGTAATAGCTCATAAAACAGAATGCCTTGCGCATCCCAGAAACAGCAAAGCAGAATTTTTCGGAGGTTCTGTTGACTCGGCTTCGGTTGAGTTGGTGGCGTTTCTTCTCGAGGCAGCCAAAAAGCACGACGTGAATCGTTCTCGTTATAAACCCATGATTCATCTCCAGTAACCAGATCTGACAAAAACTTTTTACGTCGGGGTCGCAGCAAAAGTGACTGACAGATAGCGACACGGACTGCACGACAAAACTTTTCGATAACCAAGCTCATGTAGATGGTGTTCCACGGCGTGGTGACTGCATTTAAGTGCTTCCGCTAATTCACGAGTGGTAGCATCCGGATTCAACTGCAGTTCGCGGCGCAAATCGTCATCATTCACTGCGGGTGGTCGCCCTGAGCGTGGATGACTTTCAAGGCTCCTGTCTCCTGAGTTAAAACGGTCAAACCATCGGGACACCGTCGCATGGCTTGTACTTCCAGCGCCTAATGCATTGTTGATATTGTCAGCCGCAGCCCGCGCACTGTGGCCTAACAAGTACTCGTATAAATATAGTGTTCGAACTTGTCGTTCGTCCATTTTTCTTCAAACTGACTAAACAAATCGCGAGCGCGGCTTTATATACCCTACACCAGAAGTACCTAGAATGTTCTACAACATTCTAGAATATTATCGAAAAAATTGATTTTAAAAAGGAAATGTTATAGATTTTTCTAGTGTGTCTCATTACTTTTGTGCCAACCCAATATATATATGCCAACATCAAATACTACATTGGATGATCAAAAGTAGCTAAACCTTTTCTCTACCGAGATATAGAAGATCATTTTATATTAAGGGATCAATTATAACAAATTGAACCCATACCTCCAAGATATAAGACAATGAGATTTAATATTTTTAAATGCAAAAAATTATAACGTCATCTATTGCTGAGAGATCGGAACGTATATATCTTCATGGATTCCTTGCTTGTAAAGAGAACTATGTGCAGTGTATAGTTTTACATACGTATTTTACTTTCTCGATGTTTTACTTGCTAATCAGTTTAGAATGATCTCCGAATCCATGAGTACTGGTAAACAAGCATATAAAATGTTGGTATAATAAAACCACTTACATGCGAACTTCCAGTGTACAGGATATCCAAGCACTATGCCCTTCTGGTGAGCCACCGAACACTGGTAGACCCCTTCGGTGCCGTTCCTTTGGCGCAACACCTCCACTCTTTCTCCACCCAACCTGAGATTAGAAAAAAAACAGGTGAAAAGTAGAATAATCTATATTTATAATTATAAAACTGAAGTTTGTTTGACGGAAGGCGCTAATCTCAGTTAAAACTGGTACAAATTGAAATAGTTTTGCGTCAAATAGTCTATTTAATGAAGAAGGCTTCTAGTAGGACTAGAACAGCAATGAAAACTAGAAAAAAACGAGTTAACCACGCGGGCGAAATCGGTGGCGGAATCGTAAACATTCATAAAAATTAGAAAGCAAATACACATGTACATACTGTAAAATTAAGGAATAAGAAAATAAACAAAAATAATAGCCAATATAAAATGACATAAATAATAAAGAAAGCAACTGCGTACTAATTATGTATATTGATTAGCTCGATGGCGTAGTGGATAAGTTCCGCGGCCCGCGATCATTGTTGTTAATTATTATTTTCATAAGTGTCGGTCACGGGATGGGTGACCAAGTAATTATAATCTATTTACTATTGAGCTACTCCGTCCTTCAGAAGGCACGTTAAAGCGTTGGTCCCGGCTGCATCTGCAGTCGTCAATACTCTCCAATCCGCATTGAGCCAGCTAAGAGGGTCATGGCCCATCGTCCTTAACCAAAAGGAAGGCCTCATCCCTGTAATGGGGATGTAAAAGGGCTGATGATGACGATAATATATAAGAATAAAGAGTAAATAGTGATACAATAAGCAGTGATAGCTTCCCACCCACTAATGAATGTAAGATTAGTATGCAGAATGAAAGTGCAATAGGGAATTGATAAGGTTGAAGATACTGACCTCCTCGGCACTCTGCTCCTCGGGTGATCGTCGGCGTCTAGAGGAGGGGGTGGTCTGCGCTGCGCCCTACCTTCATCCGCCACCACGCACGACACCACACCGCGTGGTGGCGTCAACCACGTTATTTGTACATCTGTCAATAGAAAATGAACTAATCAGTGATTTTGGAGGAAACAAGATGCTGATATACTGCATGCGATGACTCCCCGAAGACAACGTTACCCTGTTGTGGCTAAAGAAAAACAACAGGCAAGAAATCCCCACTATCCTGCCACTGATTTCAGCAGGGGAATAGGTATGGGGTTATCAGATGTAAAAAATTTTTTCACATCGAAATTTTACGAGCCATAGAGAGTCCGTATCGATTCTCGAGCCGAGTAATCATGACTTCTATTATTTTTGAAAATTTCGAATTTCTATCAGTGTTGGAAGTACTTGCCGGGTTAATCCTTCGAATCTCTTTCCCGCAAGCTTCAAAATCTTCCGCATGCGGCCTTATCGACCAGTGAAAATATCTCGTAAGTCGATTGAGCAATTAATTTTCAAATGAATAAGGTTCACATTGCTTAAACCGCTTAGAGATATCAAGGTTTAAAATTAAAGTAATTTATCATTAGGTATAACGTGCTGTTGATGTATAACCAGGAGATTTATGAAAATGACAAACGCCTCGATTTTATTTTACATTCTTTAAATATTATTTCATTCATAATTACTTAATAACTTTAAAAAAATACCTACATATAAAAAGATGAGGATAAAATATTGTCTTTGCTGATTCATTCAAGTTACAAACCATAAGCTCTTTTAGTTTCCTAAGTGATTTTTTACAGACTTAACTATAGCATTATCATTTCTCTATCTAATATTTCAATACACGAGCATCATATTACCTATAACATAACACAAAAACAAATTCAAACTTATTAGCTAATACCCTAGTATTAGTACTTAAGTTTGAATTTGTTTTTGTATTCAAAAACATGCGAATAATTTTTATATCTGTAATACATGAATATAAAATGAACTAAATGATAGACTAATTTTTATTATCTAGCAAAATCGGTGATCCATATAATAGAATAATACGACTTAACAAACAATATAACTCATAACGTCAAAAAATAATAACACACACAATAAATAAAGTCGAACAAACATTTTATTTACGAATACAATCTGAAGAGGATCTCGCGGATTTTATTAATCACGACCCCGAAGCGTATAAAAAATAGTAGTCATCCTTGAGATTGATAGAATTGTTTGGCAGAAGTTTGGTGGTGAAAGAAAACAGTAAACAAATGGGAAGATTGATCGAGGGTCGCCGTGATGGCGTGCTGTAACTCTAGCGTTAAAGAAGACTTTCGACTTCGGGGCTCATTTTCATCGCGGTTTAGTTGGTCGATATAAAGCATGCGGGGTCTTCCGCATGCGGGATAACGGATAATGACTCGTTTATACTAGTTCAAGGGGTCAGCATCCGGAGTGCAATACAACCACAACAATGGCTCATCATAGAAATTCTAATTGCCGCCGATGATATAGACCAGTGTAAAAGTTATGGACCATTTACTTAAATAAATTGAGTCACAGAATAGACAATTAATCTTTAAAAGGGTGCAAATTAAAAATATTTTACAAAAATTAAGACTTAATTCGAAAGAGCTCAAATGAGAAAAATATTTCAGGAACATTTTATTGAAGGAAGGTAGTGAGGTTAACCACCCGACTTCAATAGAAGCTTTTGAATTATTTTTCACTTTTATCATGTTTCAAGAATCAGACTTTTTTTTATTCAAATAAAAACTTAATTAAATTTTTACTTTTTAACAAATATCCATGAATGACAAATGTCATCCATTAGCGCTTAGTATTATTATTAAACTTTATGTGTTTTGTTAACTCGTCGTGAGACACATCCCTTGTGGTAATAAAAAGTGGCTTTAAAAATAAACACGGAGAAAAACAAACCTGTAACTGAATAACTGCCGAGAGATGTTCCGGGGAGAATAATAAAAATGGCTTACCTTTCTTTTCTTTGAAGAGAAGTCGCGTATCTAATAAATCATATTCTTAATACATTTTGATGTATGCCGCGGAATTATAAATGGCAGTAATATTAGTTTGTATTGTCGAGTGAATGGTGTTAATAAAACTGCACCCCAATTTTTTGTTGGAATTATCGACTACTAACAAGAAACGGACCGGACATGTTCTTGAATTTTTAAGAAAAATCTCGCTGTTATGTGTTTGTCGAAACGTTCAAAAACCGTACTTATAGCTCACTCTCCATGAGTGATTCTATCCGCGGTTGGATTGACGTCTATAGCGGAGTGATTCATAAGCCGATTTTAAGATGTCGAGGTCTCCGAATCTCCCGGATTCGATTCCCAATCGGGTCTTAGATATGGGTATTATGATGCGTGATTTTTTTTCAATAAAAATAAACGAAGTCGAATAATACGTATGAAGTGTACACGCAATGCTGAAATTATAAACTTGTTAAAATTCATTAGCGTATTATGATCACCTTAGAAAATATTCTAGGTAACCAATCAACAGGCTGTGTCGAACTAATTGACTAGAAAATTATGAAGATAATGTTTACAGATAAAACTCCAGGCATAATTAATTTAATTTATCCAAAGTAAATATTCTCCTCGTCCTTCAAAATGCAAACTTTGCGTATTCTGTTATTACAGGAACAAGGCAGCATTAATGAGAAATAATATCATCTCATAATATGAAATGAAATAGAATTAGATGGTTTTTACATTTAAACATTAATTCTCTGTCTGTGACTGCAGTTCAAAATATCTGAAATGTTATGCCTTCAGAAACATTGGCTTGTAACAATAACTACTAAGACACCTGCCCTTACTGTCCCGTGTCAAATGCCGTCTTGTATGCTATAACAATAATAAAATAAACCTTTCTTTAGACATTTTTTACAAAATCAATCGTATGACTCACTTGAATCAATACCACCAACAACTGAAGCTATTTAGCTAATTGTGGAAAATGCCTCTATTTTTTCCACTTCAGTTTTACGCTTGTTCTTTGTCTATATTTTTCCTCGTATACTTTTTATTTCATCTTCCCAACTTCGAAAATGTCTACCTTATTTTCTTATTAGGACGTATGTCTCTTGGGTTAATAAAAATATATATCCTGTATACAACATCCACACTTAATTCAAAATCACTTATTCAGTTTAGGCTGTCAAGCACATGCTAATATTAAAAAAGTATTAGATCTTCGATGACTTCGATCCTCAAGCTAGCAACTCCCAACTCGGATGATAACTACGTCCTTATCGTCTCCCTTACAGTTGCCATTGTTTTTAAAATAGATATTAATTTTTTTAACATTGTATTAAACCTTAGTAATAAAAAATATGGAATAGCATGGACTCTTTACTATTGATCAATCGCATTACGGGAATCATTATCTATCAGTGAGCTGTCACTGTCACTTTGGCGTAAGATAAGATTCGCGCGTATATACCCAGCGGGGGGTGATCGCCCTGGAGCTGTTGGAACCTGTACATAATATAAAATAAATTAATCGAACAAGAAAAGTCTTTATCGAGTGCGAGAGTATACGATACGTAAACTACAATAATAACATAAGAATCTTCGACATTTTGTATCTAATATAAAAAGTAAGAAGATTTCTGGGGGGCCTGGAGTTTCCAAATCAAAGGGGCCGGAACACCCATCACCTTTAATCTCTTGTTAGAGATAGTGATTTTTATTGCATCAACAATTCAACCATTTTGTTACGTCGGCCGATGCGTGCTTAATATGACTAATTAAAAGAGGCTTCAAAATTAACCTCCAGTTTATATCACGGAAGCTGAAGACTACAAGGTCAAAATGGCAGTACTTATTATAAAACTCCAATACTTTTTCTAATTTCTTATAAGCTTAATAATAAATTATTGATGTTGGAAATTTAAAATAACGCCTCTGGGTAATTTATAAAAAGGCTTTTATCATTAGTCGCCGGTGGGTGTTATAACTAGGGTTACCATATGAGAAAAAGGACAGTGTTCAAACTTTTTGTATTTTCGAGTAGAAAATCCTTAAGAAATACTTAAGACTCATTAAAATTAAAATTATGAGGAATAATAAACTGACCACCTATTACTTACTCGTCTTCCTTAACCAACCATAAAGAAGGCCTAGCCTCTGCAGTGGGCACTTGTAAGGGAGGTTGATGATGGATCATCTATTTCACTGACATCCAATGCATAAAGGTGTTTTAAATTAGAAAATTTGTATCGCTAATGTTACTTTAAATTAATGAAAATTTTATTGGACGTTCCTGCAACGAGCTTTCCCAAGCACGAAGGAACTTGAGAAAATAAAAAACTAATTACCAAACATGCTAGCTACTGCACCATCAAGCTTCTTGGCTAGCGGCCTAACGATAATGGCGCTCGCCCATTTTCATCCAGTAGGAACTTATATATGCCTACTGTAGAACAAATCCCGTGAAGTCAGCACGGATTGACACCCTAGTCATAAGCAACTCAACTTTTTCCATCATTTCCCTTTTTCAATGTGATAACAACCGTTAACGGCACAGACAACTTACTTTACAGAGAGCTGTCGGGAATGTAACTTTCAATATTTTTGACAGTAAAGAGCAATAAACACGTTCTATAATTCCTGAATTTCAGATATAATGTTAAAGTACACATAAAGTTGTGACCTACAACACAGGCTAAATGTAGATTGGTGGGTATTAACGACTGCAGATGCACCTTGGGCATAACGTGCCTTCTGAAGCACGGAAGAGCTTCAGGTAAAAAATTTTTGGTCACCCATCCTATGACCAACCATTGCGAAAGTTGCTTAATAGCATATCGCAGACCGGGAGCACTAACCACTTAGCCATCGAGCTCCTCTATTCATTATTATATTTCATCGAAAACGAAATTTCAAAAATGCTAACAAGACTTCAAAGAAACGCATTTCTCAATGATTCATGGTGCAACGGAGGTAGGACCTGACCCTGCCTGTGATGCACAGATAATCTTCACGGATATGATGATAACAAAATGATAAAACGATTTGAGATATCACGAATTTTCTTTCGAGGACAAATAAAATACCCTCAGGTGTC